CGTGTTTTACAGCCTCCCTCTTGAAGTAATCCAGTTGTTGAAGAAGGCTCTTATCAGCTGTAACTTTGGAAGAGCCTCCTGTAGTTTCTGGCACGTTTCTGTCATGATCTCGTTTGACTTGCTGGTGACGTTCTTTTTCTAACATGCTCTGCAGTCTTTGAATCTCCTGCTGCTGTGATTTCACTTCAGCCTCACATGCAATCCTTCGGTCTCGTTCTTCTTGGAGGTCAAAGGTCTTACTCTGTAACTCCTTTTTAAGCTCGTCGACCTGCTTTGTCAGATCAGTGATGTGTCGGCTTGTCTTGTCCACGACTTCCACTGAGGGGGTGATCTCGAAGCCAGCAGACCGAGTGTTTTCTGCTCGACTTCTGAAGATGTTGGATTCTCAAAGTGGCCGGAAGGACTTGATTCCCCCTGGATCTCTGATGGTACATCTTCCGGCTCAATGGGGCTGTTGCTGTCTTCCTCAAAAGGGAAAACGACAGCGTCGTAGTCGACTTGGACATTAAGGTCCATTATGTCGACCCATGAAAGCTTGGCTGGAAAAGCTTCATGGTTACATGCAATCTGTTGTTGCTTCATGTCGATGAAAGGCGTGCAATATCTACAATAGATATCCCGCTTGTTTCAATGACTTTCGAACGTGCTGTGTAGAGTGATCTGCTGCAGTAGAACTGTGGAACAGGTCTGACAAAACACTTTCTGTGAGCTGCATTCAATAGACAGATTCGTTTGTGGTGTCATAGAATTATGACATCACTGCTGACGTCATTGATACCATTAGAAAAACATTCTTTTCCTTTGGGAGTTGATGAGCAACCAGTCCTAAAGTGCTGCTATCTGCTGGTCTTGCTTGGAAGTGCACTTCTAAATAAAATTACTGCGACGCTATTCATCATCATCTGTTGAAATTTTATTTTTCTCCATAGTAACCCTAATATTGTTTGCACCAGCAAAGACAATCAGATTTTTATATATCGATCATCTGGTGGTGGCAAAAGGAACAAAAACAAAAAAGCTAGTGTGCTCTGGACTTAAAGTGGAGTAGATTGTACCTAAGGTGTGATGTCATGCTACTGAGGAAAGCTATGAGATCTAGTGTGAAAACAACAATAACAAAACAACAACTGTCATTTGTCTTTTAAATCACTTTGAAAGATTTAATGTTCCTCAAGCAAAAGAAAACTTTTATTTCCACAGCTTATTACATTTTCATAGTACTTAAACTTTTCCAATCAAGAAAATTTCATCAGATTGCATGGACAACACCCAATTCCAAGAATTCTCATAGATTCTCAGCTTGATTTTTTTTCTGGACTTTGACTAGTCCATTCTAACACTTAGACCACTTCTTGCTTAATGTTTTAGTCATTTTCTTGCGTATTTGTAAATGGTATCAATAATTACCCACACATTGCAAAGGTATCTCTCTACAGCCTAGCCACTCTGTCTGTGCTAAAGAAAATCATCCCCACATAATGATTCTGCCAACCCCATGTTTCACCATGAGGATGTCGTGTTCAATAAAACATCAGACCAGAGCAGCTTCTTCCACATATTTGCCATGTCCCCTATGGCATATCTGCTATAGTCCTCTTAGGACTGTCTTTCAACTCTTTTTCGTTTGTTTGTTTTTTTGTAAAGGAGCTTGAGGGAGTGCCTGTCTCACTGTTTTCCTGGTAACAGATTGTCCCACCCAAGAAGTGAATCTCCTCAGCTTCTCTGGAATTAACATGGGCTTCTTAATTGCTCCTCTTCTTGGCTCTGATTAGGTGGAGAGTCTATTTGACAGGATTGTTCTGTGCCATTATTTTTTTGTTTTGTGCTCCTTGGTATTCATAACATAGTTCACACTCTAATGTTTCCCAAGAAACCTCTGAGGCGAGCCAGGTCATTGCATTCCTATGCAATTCTGCTCGGTCCTGATCCCCCTTCAATGCTCTGTGTGACATTTTTCCCAGTGAACTGAATTTCTTCTTCTCAAATAGGAAAGTGAAAGAAGTTCTCGAACAGGTGTTGATGTGTATGGCGTTTCCCCCAAACGCCTTTAGTATCTCGTTGCTCTGAGAGAACGACAGGACCTTCCTTGTCTCCTCTTAACAAGCTCAGACTTAATATAGAGTGTCCAACGAATCATGATTCAGGCAATATTTACACAAAAAGATTAGCTTTGCACAAACTGGCCCACACTGAAAACCATCTATGCCTCAAAGATTCAATTGTTTTGCCCACACAGAGCTGCCAAAGGAAGGGCCTCGGCCCGCTAACTTTGGACCGTACGCGAGGATGACTCTCGGCCCGCTCTCCTACACAGATGGTTACAGCATTCTGCCATCCCACTGTCTCCCAAATGCTCTGAACAAGCAGATGCGGCGTTGTTTGACGGAAGCAGCTTTCCGTGTCACTTTTATGTCAGACGAACACTCAGGACGGGCCGTTGCCGCCTCCCACTATGTTTGTGCTCATGTCCATTGAGCCCTTGTGGTACAAAGGAAATCAATCCTTTTCACACTCCCCTCCTCATGTGAGGCGCTGCTTCTCTTGTACTCGTGCTTCATGCTGGGAGACAGCAGCCATCAGGTTATGGTGGGCCACTGGAACAAAACGCCCATCATAATACCCTGAGAGGAAAGACCACAACATGCTCCTGGAACCTCAAACCAAGTTTCACATCCACACTATTGCTTTGATCAAACACAGCAGTGGCAGTGTCCAGTTTTAATCCTCTTTTCTCTGTGTGGATGCCTTACCGTCTGAGAACTGTATCCATGACAACTGCGTACTAATTAATCTGTGTTCAACTTCACTTCCTGTCAGTTTGAGCCTAAGTCTGGAAATAAAAAAGGTTTGCGTGATATTATGACATTACACGTTCCATTTAGAACAACAGGTGTTGATGTGCAGCCTTCTTTCGACGAAGGGAGGAGCATTATCTGCTTTTTTAAATACAAAAGCTTGTTGGAAATGTGGTTCTGATGTCCTCTATTGATCAATCCTTTTTCTTTTTCAGACCCAGAGGGGAGTCTAGACTTACCAGCACCACAAATACTGGACTGGACTAAGACTGAAAAACTTAGCCCAGTTGTTCCATTTAAACAGAGGATTAATGCATCAAGTTTCTTCTTCAACAGAATCCAGGAAACAATTTTTCTCAGTCATCAGTGCAATGCTGCAAAAAAAAGAAAAAGAAAACGTTACCAATAATTTTCTTGTCTAGTTTCTAATGCAAATATTTTTAGGATACTTGAAAAACTAACTTGTGACTTTTAAGCAAAAAAAATAAGCTTGTTTTAAGTCAATAATTTCTTAAAGCTGTGATATGTAGTTTTTATTTTTAAAAAAGTTTTTTTAAACGTATTTGTTAGAAGAGACTATATTTTTATAGGAGATGGATATTAATGACTGATCATCTGAAATCACTAACATTGTTGTTACCTGCATACTTATTATTTTCCACTGTTTCATTCTGGCCTTGTGTTTTTATGTTTGCACCAGGAGACCTTTGAAACACACAGTGTCCACGACTGAAGGTTGTTCTGAACAGGAACACTTGGCAGGTATTAACATCTCAAAGAGAGAGCACAGTTTAAAAAAAAAGAGCATATGTGGAATGTGGAACTAGGGCAGCTTTTATGATAATAGTTACTTATCATTTTTCAAATATTCCATTCTTATCATCTCTCTGGATCCTGCAGCTACGAAACTAGATTAAGAGCTAATTAATGGGTCTTATGAATGCAACTGAGCCCATTTGAAGGAGGAAAGTGCTTCTTTCTTCCCGGGTGCCACTCAGTTTTCATTCAAATTGTAATCATGGATAATTATGGATGATGAAGCTTTAATGCTATGGGTTTTTTTGTTTTGTTTTATATATCTTGGTATTTTCACATACAGTTTATTGGCGTTTCAGTAGATTCCTGAGGGTTTTCCCGCTCCTCTAACTAAATATGCCACGCCTACTTTAGCTGAATGGTTTTTAACATTTAACAGCAAATAAATGTTTTTAAAAGGGCAGAATTATGTATTTTCCAGGCACATGATGCAATTTTACGGCTCAATCAACTAACTATGTCACTTTCAATTGTTACAAAAATGCTGACTTAAAGGAAATTTGAATCTGATGTCATAATTTAATGCCTTGAAATTGGATCTCTGTCTCTTTAAGAAGCTCTTGCTCTTTCTGAAACTCCGCCTTGTCGCAACAATGAAAGAATCATTTAACACGATATGTTTTTGGTGTGGAAATAACATAATAGAAAAGCTCAAAAAGGTCAATTTTACAAATGTCTAATTGATTTTAAATTAGACATTTAAAATCAAATGTCTAATTACATATATTTTTTACGAGTTTGCTCATTTATTAAGTAAATATCTCTGAGGGCAACATAACTTACCTAATTCTGAAATCCATCACTGACTGCCAGTGCCTGAATCAGTGTTTCTGGCAGGAATGTCTTTCTCTCGTCTCCATCACACGCACAGCTTGAGTCCCTATTCATGAGACGGTGTGCTTCTGGTTCTGACATACATGCACGGCATAAAGTCCACTGCCACTTCCACCTATCTCGGTATTTGAGACAAACGATGCTTTCTGTGTTCGCCGGAACACCTGCTGAAGATTTACAAGAATAAAATGTGTGGCTGCAGTGGCATCTCAACCTGAAGAGATTTGAAAAAATGTCAAAAATGTCCAATTTCAGTACATTTGATTAATAGTAATATAGAAATATGATAAGAAACAACAACAAAAAAAACTTTTTCTTTAATTTTTTCGATTTTGTTTTGATCCAAATGGGTTTAAGACATTGTCAATAATTTTTCTAAGTTGAAAAGCAGCCACAGAGGTTCGGTTCAGACATTTCATCCTGCGATGCCAACACGTCGCTTCGTCTCAAAGTGACGCCTCAGGTTAAGGACTACAGTACCCAGCAAGCTCTGCCGAATATAAATAGTAACTGAATGGGCGTTCCCGTGGTGACATGTGGAGGAGGTAAGAAGAGGATTGTTGCCGAGGATGCGTTGAGCTGTTGGAGATAAACGCCGCTCACGCGACTCTTACCCACCTGGAGTTTCGCTGCCATGGACTTAACCGAGGACGGTGCTGTGGAAATTATCCCGTGCTGACCCACTTCTCGCGTTTTTCTCTCGTTGTCCTCCGACGCCGTCTCTCATTCCTGCCAGGTATGAACTCCTTGTGTGTGTGTGTGTGTGTGTAGTTTTCCAGCCTCGCGCATTGTTCATCCCCCCACAGAGATGACAGCGTCCCTATCGAGGAAGTAGCCCACGCGCTCAATTGTTTCTGTTGCTGACTGCTGCTCGTGCGCTAAAGCGGTATAAAAAAATAAATAAAAATTAGCCGAGGGGAAAAATGTTCTCCGGCTGCCTGTGTTTACCTGTCCGCGGTTTTTAACGCCGTTAAAATGCGCGCGTGTTCACGCAGTTCTGTACGTAACAGAACGCAAAGTTTACACGCGAGTGGGAAGTTCGGCGGGCCGTCGGGATATGGGTCAATGTCACCTTTACGGTAAGACGTGCAGTTTCAGTCAGCCGTTTACGCGCTTTCAGTAAATGATGCTGGTCTGATGCGACTTCGAGTTCTGCTTGTCGACACGAAGCCATTGGTGGTTTTCACCTGAAGTCAAGTTGTTGTGGTTGAAGTGAGGCAGGATATTTTACCTGCATCACCGCTGCTGGATTCACGCTCCAGGCTTTCTGAGTGGCGACCCACATTTAGGGTGAACTGGTTTCACGCGGATGACAATAACACGGTGCACACAGAAAGTAGTTTTCTGTTTCCCAGCTGTACTTACTTTAGAATAGAATAGAATAGAATTCAACTTTATTGTCATTGCACTGTCACGCTATTTATTATTTTTTTATTTTGCAGGGTGTCAAACCTGACTGAGCAGTTTGCTCTGTTTTAGCCTGAGAGTTTTAATGAAGCCTCCACCAGTTTCTTCCTCTTTGGTTATTATCGCTGTGTGAATGACGTCCTGTGCTTGTTTTAATACTTTGCAGCTTGTTTAGTTGCAAAGTAGATCTACCCTCTGGAGTTTCTGGCAGGTGTTTGTAGAATATATTTACTTTGTCCCCTTTTTATTGCCTTGACCACTGTTTTGGATATAGTAGATGCTGTGGAGAAACCAAAACAAACCTACAAACAAACAAAAACATTTTCAGTAAAATGATTTTGACTCGTGTAGAATGAAAACAGTCTGAATTGTGTATTTATCTAAATTTTAGAAATGGTTTTTAGCCTCTGATACCGAATTTGAGTTTTCCTGGGGGGCTCAAATTTTATTTGCATAAATTTTGATTTTATGGAAATTGTCAATGTCTCCATAAATTCAGCTGTTTGTTGGGTTTTTGAAGAAAAAAGTGTGAAACTACTCAGTTTAATGCCTTAAATGAACAAGACACTCTTGACTGAGTCATTCAGTCAAGAGTGGACCATTGATTTGGTACATCAATATGTAATTATCATTACTTATTATTTTATGCTTGAAAGAAATAAGTGGTTTGTAAGTAATTGCACATTTAACATTTCTGATTTATTATTATTATTATTTTTGTAGGTGAATTAACCCAGAGAGACCATGTCGGACAAAATGTCCAGTTTCCTCCATATAGGGGACATTTGTTCCCTGTATGCAGAGGGCTCCACCAGTGGATTTATCAGCACTCTGGGGTAAGAGCTTTCATTCACACATCACTACAGCCACTTTCCACTTCCCTCATTTCGCAAAGTACCTGCAAGGATTCCTCAGAGATAAAACCTCAGGCAGTGTTGTGCAGAAGAGCGAGCACTGTTAAAGTAAAGCAACCACAGTGACATATGATGCGAGTAATAACACGAATACATTTCCATCTTTTTTTCTGCACTTGAATTACGTTTTGGTTAGAGACAGCTTCTCCTAACCAGAGAATTCACTCTAACCATTAAGTTTGTGTGCTTGAGATTCCGGTTATTTAAAATTATGTTGCGATTCTTCTTTGTAAAGCTTCTTTTTCTTATTTTTGAGATGCTAGATTGGCTTGTTGCTGTGTTCCTTTTCGTCCCTCAGATCACTCTGTGTCTGAATGGGGTTTAGGTAGTTGGCATCTCCCCTCCGCCTTAATTGTAGGCACAGAGTTAAAAGTGCGTCTCATTATGTGAAAATAGAACAAACTGTGTCATGTAATTACTGGTCAGAAGTAGCAACCAGGAGGAAGAGGAGGAGAGTGTGATCGCCAATATCTCGTCTGCCTTTCTTCTTATCCAAGTATTTTTTTTTGTCTCTAAAGTATATTCTGCGTCTATATTGTCCTCCTTCACCTTCTTAAGGAAAGACAGGCAGTCTGTTTTTTAAAATTTTTTTCTTCCCGCTGTGTAGCAATTTTATTTGTGACTCAGAAGTGGCCGCGCCATGGCCCTATTGTTCGCAAGACTTCAGAAGCCACGCTCTTTCACAGTTTGGCACATCACATTAACCGCCATAGCAACAAATGCGTTCACAGCTTTGAAGACTGCTAACATGACATCTCTCATTTGTTAAATTTCCGTCCTCTGCTCTCGTGCTTGTGATCACCCACCGCTGCTGTGCCGTGTGTTTAAAGAGGAAAGCATGGAGGGTGCAGCTAAAAATAGCAGCATTGTTTCTGTATTCAATTTTGCTTGTGCTGTCAGCTCTGTGAATGTGACCCCTGACAGACACCTGGATCCACCTGGTGCTCTCCTGGCTGCTTAAGCTTCGATGCAGAAAGCAGAAGCAGCTTTCTCCTTGACACAGGATAACAGAGTCTTCAAACACCTGTTCCCTTTTGGACCGTGGCCCGTTATTGCATCATTTTGATCACACACAATGGATCCATTTGTTGATGATACCTGAAGTGGTCCTCTGCACTTTAGTCAGTTGCAAAAAGATGTAGCTGTTTGGAGTATCCTTAAAAGTTCTTTTAATTATATTTTATCTACTAACCTATATAAAACAATCATTATGTCATGCTAAAATGCAGTTTAACAGGAAGCATTTTGCCATGTACAGTTCAAACCAAATATTTACATATAACGCGTAAAGGTCTGGACTCTTGGCTATTGAGAAAAGATTGCTTCATGGACGTGTGAAGGCCGTTTAAGTTTTACATTTCTCCCAGTAGCTAATGTTTGGCCATGACATATGTAATGCAGTGAGAAGAAAGTGCCAAGCCAAATGGCTGTGAAAGTGAATTTAATATTTGGATTGTTAAACTACAAAATGGCGCAGAAAATCAGTGTCATCGTTCGCAACTTCTCCTTCCGTTCACGGATTGGACCGGTCGAAATTCTACCAGAGACATTCAACTCAATGGGAAAAAAGCCCAGACAGAGCACTGAGGGGAGGTGAGAACTGCATGGGAAGGCAATGGTCAGGCTCAGAAGGTTAGCATTGTAAAAAAATATCCTGACAAAATCCATCCTTCCATCCATCTATGTATTGTCTTTCAATTATCCATGATGGCATTGAGTACAACATATCCCAGAATCCAAGAAAAATACCTTGTACAGACCCTGCACTGACATGGGCTCAAAGGCCTCTTGGAGAGGAAGAAGACATGTACTCTTAGACAAAGACCAAAAGTTCTGTGTTAAAATGGGCCGACCGTAATGACCATCATTATATCAGTCGGACAAAAAGAGCGAACCTTGCAAGCAGTCATCCTGTCTGCTGCAACATACTATATTGAATGTTTTGGTTCAGGATAGACTGGTGGAGTCCAGACAACTGATGATGATGGCATCATAAGGACAGAACATTACCTTGACATATTAAAGCAAAATTTCAAGTCACTACATGAAATTTAAATTTAACGCAAACGCCAATCGTCAGTAAACTCAACTTTTACTCTTGCTATGTTTTTATCCTACATTAACAGGCATTTGATAGTTTGTTGAAGATACTGTTTACACTCATTTAGTCTATGACTCGTGAGTACTTAGATTTGTAACATATTTCAGTGACATTCTGGTTAATTGTGGGTGTACAAAACCTTCTGGAGTTCTGTCTGCTTCACTTTCTTACTTGGAAGTGAACTGGTCAGAGGTGGATCACATGACAAAGACCAAACTTTATTCTAAAGTTTGTGATGTGCCTATTTTTTTTTAGGGAAAATCCAGATATCTAATAATCAAAAACATTCAAAGTATTTTATAAAACTATTTTGGGAGCCGACCACAGAGACTGGTTGTGAAAAGTCGGCTATACAAGATTCAGCCGCTTCCAGTAGGTGTAGCTGACAAAGTCTCAGACAATACATTGACAGAAATTAGGAGGCCAATACTTGGAATCGGATCAGAACATTCCTACTTAGAAAAACAGCACAAGGGAAGATGATTGCTAAGTAAGAACTTTGGTGTGGAAAAACGAATGGGTTTTAAGGGTGGGCATTTATTGCATCGTTTGTGGTTTATTGTGATAAATTTCTCGTCAATCGCCTCTCTTTATTCAACAGTAGCTGTGTTTCCATCACAAATGCAATTTGTTGATATTCTGCTAATGTCGAAAAAGCACAATTTCGCAATTGCCGTATTTCCACAAAATGAGCACAATTAAAATCACACTTGAAAAAGTTTGTTACCGTGATAAGTCATTAAAAAAAGACATGCTGCGCCATCATCCTTCAACCACTTCTTGTCGCCTTCTTCATGGTTTGCACCAGTGGCAACAATTTTGATGTCTGGAGCCAACTGAACCTTGGAGACTGTTCAGAGTTACGGAGCAGCGACAGGAGACTGCAGCTAAGCCTGAAAATTATTCATTTATTCAGATTTAGATTTGAAATAATTTTCATTCAACAGAAACGCTAATTTCTGATAGAAAGTGAGACGCATGTCCTAAGAATAAAAGGTAGTGTCAACTTTGCTTTTAATGTATGTTTTATTAGAAAATTTAATTTCACAAATTCTTCACAGAAATAGATTTTTTATTTGTATTTTTTTTGTTTGGTATTTCAGGAATCTAATCCTTCTTATATTTGCTGACAATTTTTTGGGGGATGATTTCACTGGTATTTTGTTCTAAAATACCTGTAAAATCATTAGCATCCAAAATGCCTCTAGTGCTTCCAGCCAGAAGAAACCTGTCGGGTAAAATTAAAATATCACATGAAACTTGAACATGCCTGAAATGTGGATAATTTTAGGCCTCAACTAAAGAAGTAATTTGAACACATAACCAAATTAGGTATTATATACATGTATAGTTGATGGATTTGAAACACTTGCCTGCATTCTGCTTGCTGATAAGTATTTTTTTATTTTTAAAATGATTAAATCTGGCTTTCTGTGCCAGAAATTAGTTTCTGAGTTTGTCCTTTTGTAAATATGAGTCGGCAGTAAAGGATTTGAAAAGGTAAATGTAATTGGATCATAACATTGAATGTTTAATACAGCTCAGCAGCAGCAGTTGTCTTGTGTTTTTTCATTCCTCAGTCCTTTCTTGGTTTCTTTTGGGAAAGGAATTAAACTGAAAACAACCCTTTGATGAAGCTGTTCTTGTTTCAGGATATATTACAAGATTAACTGTCTAAATTAAAACCTGAACCTGACGAAAGATAATCGTTCATCATAATTCTTACAGTAAATAGAATCCATTTCACTTGCGTAGAAAACCAAGCAGCTGTGAATGAGAATTAATTCACATGAATTTGAATGGGGACATATATATTAATATTGATGTTGTATTCATTCTACAGTGAGCTGGCATTGAATCAGTCGGACGTTATTCTGTGTTATAAAAACAGTTTAGTCACCCTGAATGTGACCTGCATGTTCCCATGCATTAAAAACTGAATGTGTCAGTGCTCATTTTATGAACCTGTCACATTCTCTGTAAATGTCTGGCACTTAAAACACAGATTTTCAGTGGTAAATTTTATTTTTACAGTAATCTATCCGGTGCTGTTGACCGATGTAGTCTCTGAAGTTCAATTATACAAATAAAAGTGCCATAAATATAAATCCTAATGACTAGAGATCATTCAGTCTCTAAAATTTAGAAGTGCACAAGGAAAAACTACTTTTTCACTAATGTGGCCATTAAATTATGAGCTGATAGTGAGCCTGTTTTTAATTTCTGGGAAGCTTTGCAGCAATTATGATGCCATTATGAATATAATTGCGTTAAGTTGGGTGTGTCTTCATTGGATTTACCCGATACTCATGTGATATCTCTGTGGTTCTCGGATGCACAATTCTGTGTGGTTTCCAATGTGGAAGAGAGAAACTACTAGAATCCATCTGTGTTTGGTTTGGTCACTTAATGGGCTTTGAGTTGCTTTCTTTCTTAATTTTGGAGCGAGGAAGAAAGCAAGAAAAAAAGGATGTGATACATTATTCAAAATGTCTTTGTTATGACAACTTGACATTAACCAAGAAATCATAATCTGACATAAATGTGTTATGAAAGTGTTACTGATTAAACTTTGAACATGATGTAGCTTTATGTTATTAAAGCTAAAGTTTGAACTTGGGAAATATATTCACATGAATGTGTGTGTCATCAGGCTTGTGGATGACCGCTGTGTCGTACAACCAGATGCAGGAGACCTCGACAACCCACCCAGTAAATTCAGAGGTAAGGACTCGCTCTCATTCATGTCTGAGTTTTTCATTGTTTAAGATTTACTGCCAGTTTTGTCTGCCCTCCCATTTGACTTTGTTTTTTCCTGACATATTTTATTTTCTTGTTTTTTTTTTTTTAAGTTTTGGACTCTCACGCCATTTTAAAAATGTACAAAGCAATCATCTATAAACTCCACAAAAAGTATCCCTTTTACATTAGGACCACTTTGATTTTTCAGGACAGCTGGAGTTTTCCGAAAACCTTTATAAGCATTTAGAGCTGAAAAGCCGTATTGATTCAATTCACCCTGGTTCAATAGTTATAGACCTTAAGCCTCAGAATCACGCTGTGAAGGTCCAGCCTAACCTTTAGACCTTTGTTTTGATAGAAACAGTCTGTTCCCACTCTTAAGTATTTTTTTTTATTATTATTTTGAAACCATAGTGACTTTCTAAAGGCTGTAATGTGATACTACCTGTTTTGAGATCTCCTACCTTCAAATATATCGCTTGGATTAGAAGGGAAAGATTTGCTTTATAGCTGCTTAGCTTGTCAGCAGGTATAATAAACTCTTCATAAAAGTCATCCACAATGAAGTAAAGTGAATGTATGCTCATAATTGCACTCAGTTTTTATTGTTTTTGTTTGTTTATTGTAAACCGAGTATTGCTCTCTTTTGAGAGGTTTATGAGGAGGGGAAATGAAGGGTTGGTTTGTACCAAAATTAAAGTTTTTTTTTATTTCTTTATGGCCTAAAGCACTATAGTTCTACATATTATAACTATAGTTATAATATGTATTGGCATATTAAAGATGAAGCAAATAAACATCTACTTTATCCTTCTGCAAATTTCTGAGGTTAAAAATGTATTTGCAACACACAAAATCAAGTTGAATATATCAATAAGAAACAGAAACATTTACTCTAACGTTTGTCATTAAATGCCAAAATATTTAACTGACTTGCAGCATTAAATATACAAATTAATGATGCAAGTCATTAATAAAAACACAGACATATTGAACATAGTTATGAATGATTTCTGAAAGGTCCACACGGATAAAATAAATGTTAAAATGTTGGTTTTAAATTCATTCCTATTCTGTCAGAATATTTGCAATCAATAATCTAATCTTTATTGTTTTAGGGGCATCGTAATCTGGTGATTGGCCACATTTTTTTCCCCATCAATTGATACCGATGGGTTTCTTTCAGCTTATTCACCAGAAGTGTTTCAAAACTATCTGTGAAAGTTGAATTACTCTAAATGTAACATTTTTTGGCAACTGATTTGGCAAATTATTTTTCATTCACTCTATAATTTTATATCTTCTGTGTTTTAAAATATGCTTGGGTCAGAAAAAGTGGACTTTGGGCACCATCTGCTGACTTTAACCAAGTCTCATCTCGCTGTTTCCTGTGGTTTGATGAAGTGCAAGCATAACATTAGCATGTTTACTGTTTGTTTTTAATACAGCTCCTTGATTCGATTGTGTAAAACTTTCTGATTTGGTTTGAATGTCAAACATAATGACTAATATTCCAGCTGTGGTTTTCTCTTTCTCCAACAATATCTGAGCGCAGCTGACAGCAGATCATATGACGCAGACAATGATGGCATTAACTACAGGCAATAATGTCTTTTTTCCTGAAACATTATTGTAATCTGTGTAAGGTGCTTTATTTCTATTGGGAAAACCCGGATTCCTCAAACAAAATCCTGTAAAGTTGTGATTGTTATGAATTAGCCAAATACCAACAGGAAGTGTTTTGTTTGTCTGGGTCTTTGGTCATTTAAAAGCTGTTTGATGGGGAACCACATACAATTTATTTGATCATATGGAGAAATGATTTATGTTTTATGTTGATGAGTTTGGAAAGAAGAGATGATGAACTCACCTCAGAGGAATATTTGCTAAAGCTTTACTGACTAAATGATTTATTGTTTCATGAACTCTTTGACTAGTGATGAATTGGCAGCTAAATTTTTTTTTAAGTTTGGGTACAGTAATAAAATTTACTTTAGGTGTCTATTTGGAGCTGCGGTCTCAAGACAGACCAATACTTGACTGGAACTCTAAATGTGGCTCACTTATTTTTCTTCTGATGCTTTAGATGTTTCACATTTTTGATTTACTGAAGTTAGTTGTTTATTGTGGTCTGGTCGTGGCTTCTAACACGGTTATTTTCTACTGCTCAGTGGTTGACGAGTACAGAGTGGCTGCTCATCGGAAGAAAGGCTTTTAGTTCACATGGATTTTTCCAGGAACTGAGACGACTTCATCCTGCGTATTGGACAGAAACACAATAACAAAATAATTTCTCTTTTAGATTCTCTAACTAAAGTTTAACTGAAGGTGTGAGGATGGAGTCTCCGCCCCAGCAGGCTAGTGCCTGCCTAATTTAGCCTCGTGTGCTACATGGTAATCAGAAGGTGACCTATTTTATTGGGGCAGCAAATCTAAACGCAGATGCACAGTCGAGTAGTGTGAAGTCAATATGTTAAAATAGAGAACAACAACAAAACAACTTGTTTACTTTTAAGTAGGTCACAACAGCAACTTTATTGTCAACGGTCTTGTGATTTGAATGCCCTGATCAAATCAGGCAAGTTTCATTGCATAGCACCTTTAATACACAAGACAATTTAAAGATTTATAGCAGATCAGAGGAAAGGGAAAAAAATAAACACTATTTTGATTAAAGTTGTGTCCATGTTAAATGCATAACCTTCACAATGTGACATAAGACGGTGTAATTTAATCAAACCATTGTAATATCTATGTTTGAGACTACGTGTTCAACAGAGCTTCATTCACGTTTCATACGTTTGGAAAAATTCTTTAACAGACGAGACAAAAGTGGAGCTTTAATTTCCAGAGATGTTTATTAGGTTTAGGAGGTAATTAGTTTTTCATAGCTCTACAAAGTCCGATATATTATATAAATGAAAAGTTTATTTCAGTAACTGTTCGCTAATGACTTGCTGTTTAAAGTAACGCCACACAAGAGTCTGTTTACAGCTCATAAAAGCACATTTCAGATTATAACAGAACATCAGACCAACAAGCAAAACCATTTCTGTTTTGAAGTGGTACTAGTCTCATCACAACAAATATTCTAACTCATTGGATAGCGCGTGCTGTGTAAGTTCATATCTACTGGTCTCTATTGTTCATTAGACATTTTAGGAATTTTTTGTTTTACTTGTTTACATTGTTTTACAATGTGTTTTTTGTAAGCACAAATTATTTAGCATCTTTTACTGTCGCATTGAGAAATGTTATGTCGTATCAACACTTCAGGAGTTTGACACAATTATTCCAGTTTCATTCTGTGGAGAAGCAGCTGTGAGCGATTAGTCAGGACTGGTCGCTCGCTCAGTACCTTTCTGTATTTGCAGACAGGTCGCCGTTTCACAAGGCCACTTCTTCCCAGTTAAAGATGCAGAAAAGTGACCTGCTCAGTTTGACTAACTGAGCTAGTCAAATGATATTCAAAAGAGTGGTTCATCGCTCCGCTGCTGTAACTGCAGAGGCACACTGACTGAATTTCTCACCGTATTGACCTACTTGCACGCTTTAGTCACTGTATCATAGTACACATGATAATAATTCATGTTTTGCAAATGCTGGTTCTTGTCGCCAAATCGGTTTCCGGACAAGCAGACCATTTACCTCAGCATTGTGAAGTAATAGTTAATCCGTCGACAAAAAAGCCCTTTGTGTCGGCCACCAGAGTTAATCAGAAGCGTTGTAACAGGCCTAGGGCCTAACCTCTTTGTGGAGTATTAAGAGCACTTGTAAGCTATTTAAAAAGTCAGTTCTGCAGGGAGCTGAGTGCTTAATCTAGCTTGTCTCTGATTTGAGGGGCTAATGGATGAATTGATCAGTTCGTGTTTTGTACATGCAGGTTGTGTTTATTCTCAAAAGTACACAATAAACTCAGTATGAAATCAAACTATCCACCTTATGAGCACACTTCCTGTGCAACTATATTACTGTTTCATGGTGTCCTTGCTTATTAGGTCATTTGCAAAGGTCAAGAAATGGAAAGAAATGTAAACTCTGAGATCATGCAGACTTGGTTGTTAATTGAAGACTGAATTGCAAGCTGAGAGCATAACTGCTTGCAACACAATTGAGGGTGTTTTTGAATTTATTTAATAAAGAACAGGGCATATTAATTAACATGAGTACATTAAAATAACCATGTAAATATGCCAGATTTAGCTAATTACCACCAGTAGTCCCACAAGTAAAAGCGATATTAGGCTACAGGTATCTGCTTTTCGACAGGCTTTAAAGGCGCACATATGTTGTTTTTACATCCGTCATGGCGGCGCGGGCAGACGTCTGAAGCAGTGACGTCACATGCGAAGGGTCAATAGTATCTTTGGGGTTGTTCCCACACTGGACTGTCATTGGTTTTTCTATTTTTATGAAGCAAATTTATTTTTACAATGACAAATTTTGCGATTATGGAAACAGCTTTTGAGGACAATGAGGTTGAAAGTCCAACATGTGTTCATCTGTGAAGATTTTTGCAGATTCATAATGTCTACATTTTGCATTTAACTTTTTAGTAAGTTCCTTTCTTTCGTAGTAGTACGCCATGGTATTTATCTGCTTTTAATAGCCATTATTGCCCATTTGCAGCGGACAAATGTTCTCCCAGTGCCCCGTTTTCTTTTTTTGGGTCTTTGCCCTCCTCTTTCCTGCCCTGCTTCCTCCACTCCAGGCTGTATGATGGGTAATCCCTCGACACTCTTTGCTTTGACCGCATTTCTGAGTACGGTAGCCCAAATGCATATTTTTATCTGTCATTTCTCAGTGGAGTTCTAGTTGACACTTGGAATGCAGTAGTTCATAGTAAATGTTTGAACGGATGAGCCAGTCTATCATTTTACAACTCAGAAAGTTTTTTTTTTCCTAGTTGTGTCTTGTGTACGTATCAGTCTGTTTCAAATCTGATCCAAATTAAGTTTGTGTTTAGGACAGACTGAGCAGAGTAGGTCACCCAAACTTTGGCGCGGACACTGATGTATTTTGTCATAACATGTTTGAAACCTTTCCCAAAAGGTTTCAAACAAAGGTGGGTGTCTTTTTATCAGACGCACAAACCAGCCCAGTTTGCTCCTGTGAATGGAGCAAAGCGCTTTCTATATTCGCTGCCCCTTAAAATAGCTGTGAACCTCACGCTGTCCATAACACTGAATCCCCATTTCAGCCAGAGTTTTTCTTTTATGCTGTGCACATCAGGATTTTTTTTCTCCATTTGAGTTTCCATAGTTCAGAATGTCACTCCTCCAAAGAAATACCATCTGGTTTGACAAACATGTTTTACTGCTTCTGTTTTTTCATCCCTCTTCAACTTTCACTTCAGAACAACTCTGAAAGATTGACTATTTTCTATCATTTGTCATTTTTTAAGGAAAAAAAGTGTAACTTGTAAATCATTTGTCAGGTCTCGATAGGAAACGGTTGGCATAAATGAGCTTGTTGTTTTTTGTGGCTCAGTGCTCTATTGCATGTAATATGCCAGTCTGTCCGTCAGTCTGTCCTCTCTCATGCCAGAGTGAACAGTAACAGTGGCTGATTTTCAGATGTTTGTAGATAAGATTGGTGGATAAGACCAGTTTCACACGTTGGCATCGACCAATCACTGATCTCCTAAAATGAAGTCATCGACTTCCTTTAAACCAAGACTAAAAACCCACCTGCTTAGAGTCGCCTTTGATTAATAGTAAGTGAAACATTGATCAACCTATTTGATGTTGATGGCCTTTGACAAAATGTAATGTTTACTTCATGTGTCATAGTTGTTCGCTGAATGATGTTTTTATGAGCAACTACCTTGATGCTGAAAATAAACTTGACTTGATTTACTGTAATCTATGAATCAAATATTTTCAGAAGATTATATTCAATTTATGTAAGTCCAGGTTATTTTTTTGTGATTTTTATTTTTTATTTTATTTATTTATTTTTTGCCTGGCCACCATTTATTTTTCAAACCTGCTGCTGGTGAAACAGCCATTTCTTCATGCTGGTAACTCTCATCTGTGAATCCCCACATATCCTTAAAGTTTGTTATGAACGAGACCAAGTAGAGGCCATTCCGCTTTTGAAAACGACTATTTTTAGTCTTAATGTACCACTTTCCCCAAACTTGGCTGTGTTTGCCGAGGTCAGGACACTGGGCACGAGTGCACACTCTTACGATAAATTATGAAACGTGTGTCTTTCTGTTTGTGTTTCCAGACTGCCTTTTCAAGCTGTGTCCAATGAACAGATACTCGGCACAGAAACAGTTCTGGAAAGCGGCGAAGCCCGGCGGCAACAGCACAACGGACTCGGTCCTGCTCAATAAGCTTCATGTAAGATCTATTTCCATCCTCACAAACCATAATTGCAGTGTAACTACACAGGCGATGCGTGTTTGCGATTCAACCCGTGTGCTCTGTCGTGACCTTGCAGCACGCCGCAGACCTCGAGAAGAAGCAGAACGAGTCTGAAAACCGCAAGCTGCTGGGAACAGTCATCCAGTATGGAAATGTGATTCAGGTGCTCTTCGGCCTACGAGATAAGGGGCTTGGCTTACATGAAGTGTGGCGCTGTGCGGCATGCTTATAGGAAGCTGAGCGCTTGATAAAACTGACCATAATTCTGTTTTTTAATCTGAAGCGTTTTAAATAATTGCCACAGAACAAAGAAGTCCTGTAAGGTCACCGTTAAAAGGTCTTTCCCTTCACTCATTGCTCATGAAGGTTTTGCATTCATGTGCGTTAATCTGAGAAACCTGTTGTGTAATGTGCATAAGGGAGACAGTGTGGGATGTCCCAGCTGCACATACCTTATATAATTCAACTGCTGCTTGGGAAATATGCACTTAGAAGCTTGTTAGGAGAAAACTAGCTGTGACTAAGGTTCTCAAATTAACAATTGACAGTCTTGCATGACCTAAAAAGAAAAGACAATATCAAGGATCTCTGCTGTAAAGTTCATTCAAGTTGTGCCAATGGCCTCTGTTGCACCAGTTTTTCCACATTTTTCTCAAGTTGTGTAACATTTTCCACATCTCTCTCCAGAGAGTGAGAGCGAGATCGAGTGGCTACATCTCCTGTAACTGTATGCCTTGTTGTGCCAACAGTTGCTGCATCTGAAAAGCAATAAATACCTGACGGTGAACAAGCGGCTACCTGCACTTCTGGAGAAGAATGCCATGAGAGTGACTCTGGACTCGGCAGGGAACGAGGGATCCTGGTTCTACATCCAGCCGTTCTACAAGCTGAGATCCATGGGAGACAGTGTGGGTAGCGCCGGGTGTGGGATTCCTGTTAATTATGCCCAACAGGAGGAATGTAGCATGTATTTTTAGACTTTACATGGGGTTCGAAAACAGAAGTCGCACGCACTCGCCACATCTGAGCCTGCGGTTCAGGCTTGACGGCATTTGTTTTGAAATGCTCAACTTGTCAAGCATGAGGAACTGCTGATAAACAATGAGCTGTCAGTGATACAGAGTCTGTCTGGTTGGATTAGAAGCACTGTGTGTTAAAAATCTTGTCCGCTGTGTTTTACAAGCTCAGGTGAAGCGCTGGACGATAATGAGATTCATCAAGATGAAAAACATATTTGATACAGAACAAAGAAACTAGGCTGTTTATGCTAAAAACACTGGAAAAATACAAAATATGACCAGTTTTTAGAGCAAATATCTTGTTTCATGGCTGATTTTGGTGCATCTTTCTTTCCATCCCACTAGTCACTGTGCAGCATCAAAATCTGTCCTTACAGTTTAACAAGGATGTCTGGGCTGCTGATTCTGATTTCTGCTGATACTGAATAAAAAAATAAATAAATAAAAATAACTATGACTTGCAATTAATGTTTTAGGAAGATACAGGAGCTTGCTCGTTTTAGTGAAATAATGTGCCAGTGGTTATTAGAACTTTTTCATCTATATTAAAGAATTATATTCTTATAATTAGATATGACAATGATTGACTTAAAACATTCTCATAATTACTAAAATGCTACTTGAAAGTCGGCTTTGTCTTATTTCAAATGTACTAAAGTATTTTCTCTAGAAACTAGGCCCAGAAAACACACTTTGTAAGAGTCTGCGTCGTAGCAGCGTACAGTAAAATTGAATCTATTAATTACATCTCTCTTAATACCTATGCTGCGCTAATCCGATGTACTGACCTGCGGTTGGATCCAGAGAGAGCTGCAGGAAATGAGACGCAGTGTGAGAATTCACTTCGAGTGCAGCCAATTTCCTCTGTGCTTGGAAAAAAGAAAACTGCAGGCTGCAGATATGGATGTACAGTGCCCAGCTAAGTATCCAGATCCATTGAAGTTATGCTCATTTTGTCAACTTACAAACACAAAATTCAATGTATTTTTCTTGTGATGGACCAACAGAAAACAGACCAAAATTAGGAAGTGTAAAAGAAAGGATACAAAAGATAAGATCTTTCTTTGTAACAGGTCAAAACACACAAAGAGGAGACCCCAAACATGTGGAAGAAAGGTTCCCATTTGAGGGAAAAATGGGAAAATAACATGTATGCAAAATGTGGCCCAATACTGGAAAAGCCATTGTTGTTGAAAGATATCTGAATATAACGTAGTGGTTATCCCAAAAATCCTCTTATAAAGTTCTTTCCCAGTGAAAGTAGAAACTAAAATCTAAGCAAGGATGTGTAGCAAAACTTGAAATTTTATAATCACAGATGTCCAGGTGGAAACTGAGGTGTTTTTGATTAAAAATGGATGATATGCACAAATTCAGAGTGGAGTTTGGTAACCAGTTAAAGTTACATCTTAAAGTGGTTAGGGTTGACTTAGGGTTGGGTACATGGTTTAAATTTTAGAAGCTATACATCACTTTCATTTCTTTTCCCAGTTATTTGCCACTTTGGGTTAGTCTGCTATATAAAGTTTGTGATGGCAACACCATCTCACGAAATGTGAGAGTCTCTGGGAATGAAAATGGACACTTGGCTTAGCACACCTGTTTTTTTTTTTCTTGGAGCAGAAAACACACCCATCTTGTCTGGTGTGCTTATAAAAGCAAGACGTTATGAAAGAAAATAAATGGACATTTCCTGTTTTTCTTGGAGATGGGTTATATAAAGCTACATTTGCGTGATGCTTTTTGAAGGGAAGTCGGAGTGGCTCAGCTAAATGGAGCATACGTGAACGTAACCTCTGCTGCTCGAGCTGCAGTTTCTAATCGTGGCTAATGGAAGGTGATGGAGTTAAACTGGCTGAATAGCTAATTAAGTTCCACTTAATTAATCCCTTTGGGAAGATTTGTCCTCCACCTTTGATTCATCCTTTTAAAATGACAGAGCCTCTCTGTCAGTCTGACCAGAGCCTTGCAAAACCTCAAAATCTGTTTCTTTGAGAACATGAGGATTACCCTCTGTGGCACAAAATGTTTGACTTTTGAAATCAAATATTTAAAGACAGTTATATTTTTTTAAGGTGAATTCTTGTACCGCTGTGAAAAGTTGAGTTCAGCTCGTGGTACATGTAAACAATCAAAGCTTTGTCTAAATCACTATTTGTCATAAATTAAGGCTTGAGGGTTTTGTCTCTTATGTTGGTAAGAGACAAAAAGGGACTCTAGCTCCACCTCGTGTTCAAGAGATGGCATTCATAGTTAGAAACAAATCTGAGCTTGTAGCGTTTTTATTTGATTTATAAAATTTAGGTCTCTTTTGTAAAATGATTGACTTTGTTTTTGTCATATTTTAAGGGTTTCTATGTTTATCTCTTGCTTCTAAACAATGTGGTCTTCCTCTGTAAATGTGTGTTGCTCCTGCAGGTGGTGATCGGAGACAAAGTCGTCCTCAACCCTGTGAATGCAGGACAACCTCTCCATGCAAGCAGCCACCAGCTAGTTGACAACCAGGGGTGTAACGAGGTACGAGTGTCACTTCATTTATGGTAAAATGGAAACATTTGTAATAACTCTATAATAAATGGCATTTCTCTGTTATGTGTTTTTTTTCCCCTCTTTTTTTCAGGTTAATTCTGTAAATTGCAACACAAGCTGGAAAGTTGTTCTATTCATGAAATGGAGTGACAACTTGGAAACTATCCTCAAGGGGGTAGGCACCAACACGATTAATTTTACTTGATTTTTTTTTTGTCTACAGCAGTAAAACTGGACATTTACTTGATCATGTCCTGTGGGCTCTTTTGCTTTGTTTCAGGGTGATGTCGTGCGGTTATTCCACGCAGAGCAGGAAAAGTTTCTAACTTGTGACGACCACAGGAAGAAGCACTACGTTTTTCTCCGAACCACCGGTCGACAGTCGGCGACTTCGGCCACCAGCAGCAAAGCACTGTGGGAAGTGGAGGTTGGTGAAACGTGTTCCCAAAATGCGATCCGTTCCCCAGTCAATAAATTGCTGATCCCTGATACGGAAACAATACTAGCTGTACTTTAACTGCTGTTTCTTTTCTCATCACCAGGTGGTGCACAATGACCCGTGCAGAGGAGGCGCAGGCTACTGGAACAGTCTGTTCAGGTTTAAGCATTTGGCCACCGGGTACTATTTGGCTGCAGAGGTGGGTGAGGTGTGTGTCGGTGGATTGGACCCTTTTTATTTATTTAAATTTTTTTTTTTACAATATAGTTATTTAGACAAACATGCAATTTCAGAACTGGCAGCAATACTTAAACACCAAGAGACATCTAATTTACAGACAGTTTTTCATACACAACAAAGCAATATTAAAACAAAAGGTAGTAAAAAAAAAACGTAAGGAAATAAGGTAAGAAAGGAAATTATGTGGAAAATATCTGAACTGTTCTGATAACAGAGATGATGTTGCTTTGAAGGACTCTTGAAAAACAGATTTGTTAATGAAGAGGAGATGCTAAAGGTGGACATGTAAATTCATGATGCACAAATCCTAATATCCTTTAAAAAAATCATGAAGTCCTGATCAGTGTTGATTTGATTGATGTGTATTTTTATATGTTTGTTTTGTGTTTAATGCTTTGTTGTTGCGCTGTATTTTTAGCAGGTGTATTTTGTCACCTTCTGAAAAAAAGTCTATTTTTGCCAAAAAAAGAGGTGATGATTATTTTTTGCAAAAATAACTTCTGGCAAAAAAAAAAAAAAAATATATATATATATATATATTAGCAGCATGACTTTATTGGAAAGCTACAAATGATTGAAATTGGTGTTTAGGTAAAGAAACATCTACATATATGATAAGCACCTAGCATCACCAAATGCATATTATTGTTGTAGAGAGCCCAACATTTGGCTGATATCAATTGTAGTTCCAACAATTCTTTGCAATGTTGTTGTGATCAGTAATTTTGCCAAATCAATGCATTTTTAGATCGTTCTGCTTAAAGGGCATCAAAACAACCTTAAAATTTTTTCTGAAATGTCCAAGAAGCAGAGATTTCAAAATTGCCAGTTATTTATGTGAAATATATTTTATTTAAGGAAAACAAGTACATCATTATTAAATGAATGATTCGTTGGATTATGTTTTTCAAATGGATTTTCCAGGTGAATCCAGACTTTGAGGAGGAGAGCGCCGAGCAGCGATCTTCTGTAAGTCAGATGTTCTCTCATTGTTGGAGCTTTGCCTCTGCTTCATTCTTTTTAAAAATCTGCTCTGGGTTTCTCTTTGCTGCTCAAGGTGGTAGACTTTACACCCTTCAATTTTCAGGTATTGTCACACCATACATAGATGTTGTTTGGTTGCTATGTCGGCGTAAATTTGTGTGCATATGCATATGAATTAAAATCTGTACTCCAACACAGATTAATTTGCTTTGTGTGTGTCAGTAGCACCTGACTACCACAAGGTGTCACTGTGTAATCATCTTAGTTGACTCCCAGCAGTGCTGGGAGTCATTGAATAAGAATATATTTTGTTTTCTTTAAGAGCACAAATGCAGTAGTATCAGTAGTAATACTGATTCTGTGCAGGGGGTCCTTCACTGTATTTTTCTTTTTGTTTTTAGCTGGATGCTGATAACGAGGCTCTACGAGGCCGCCTCCGCGCTCCACAGGAGAAAATCATGCACACCCTGGTCCCTGTACCCAACGGCAGGGAGGTGCCCTCCATCTTTGAGTTGGACCCCACCACCCTGAGAGGAGGGGATTCAATGGTTCCCAGGTAAGGCACGTAAACGAAAATTCAAGTCTCTAAAACCCCCCCGTATCAACCCCCCCGAATCTTTAGGAAGACTAATCTTTTTATGAAGGAATGAGAAAGAAGCAAAGTTCAAGACTGATTCACTTTCAACAAAAACACAGTACTGAAGGAATCTTAAAGTGCGGGGTAAAAAAAAACAACAAAAAAAAAACTTGACAAATGACAACTGTGTTGACGAAACACTGTTCCTTCATGAAGACCACAGTGATGTCAAAAAACAACATTTCAAAGAGGAATAACATGTGAGTCATGTGTTTTTGTGGAGGGGGAATTTAAAGCATCAGTCGAAACTAGTTTCTGTGGTATTGAGTTTAAAAGTGGCCAACTGTGGACATGGACTGGTTTTATTATGTGCTGTCCGTTCTGACTGTGTGATCGCTCTCTTTTGACTAAAATCAGACCTTTTAAACACAAGAATGGTATTACAAAGACAAAACAGGAACTGTGTCAGGCTTGCCTAGATGAAAGCAAGAAAGGGAGAAAACTCCGAGATTTCAAAATATCCACATAATTTTTAATGTTTCTACGCAAAAACACAAACCACATATTATGTAAGATCCACACTTTTAGTGGGGATGTTTTGTAATCTGATCTGATATTTTCTGGTAGATCAGATCTGGTAGATTAAATAGAACAAAGTTAATGGAAACTGTTCAAATGGTGGGTATTGTGTAAAATTGACCTTTTTTTGTTAGAAAGTTATTCCCTCATCAAAATCACTCCTGCTTGCTTCTGCCTCACAGAGCACGCCTTCCCCACTCAGCTCCTCCAGACTAGCGGCAGCAGCATTTAGTAAACACCTGGTAGAGCTGAGAGTCTGCTGACCTCATCATATGAACTACTTCCCAGTTCAGTGTTCCTAAGAAACATTAATGAGAAGCATTTTGTGATGGCATGCTGAAGGCAGCGTATTGGAAAGAGTAGCAACTTCTTAAAGAGACAGAGGTCAATTTCAGATTGTGAAGTCTAAGGTCTTTTACGTTCTGTTTGATATATGGAGCATATTTATAACAATCGAAAGCAGCATAAGCTTAGTTTCCATTAATTTTAAATTCCACACCTTAAAATTACTAAAAAATGTAGTAGTTTTTTTAGTTCTGAAACTAAAATTTACTAAATGGAAACATAACAAATTTGAAAAAAAAAAAAACAAACAAACAGTTTTTTGGCATCATGTCACTTTATATGCAGCAGCAAAGCTCTTAAATCTGGGCACTGGCCTTCTTGGACTATGTGCAGCGGGCTCTCCCAGAGGTCTTACAGCATTGCACCGTTAATCAAAACTTGAGTTTCAGTCAAAGGTTGGACGACTACAAGTTCTCCAAAACGTCGCATGCATATGTAGCCGCTCCCAAAAACAAGGATTTTGTCACACATCTGATGTCAACGTCTCCTCCAGTGGCTGATGAGCTCTATCGCCGTGGCTGAAATAGAAACACAGTTATAGTTACTTGGCTGTCCTATCAAACGGCACCATGTACCTGGAAAATATATTGCACCGCCCCTTTAAGCAGCAATGCTGTGTTCCTGCCTTCGCTTACTGCAGTCTTGTCATCTGTGTTCAGGTTTTCCTTTTGTTTATGACTTCTCTCTAACTGCATGGTATGAGGGATGAATGTTTAGTTCTGAAAGTCCAATGGTGTACTTATCCTTGCCAGACAAAAATAGAGGCTACACAGTTTGATTAGAGCCTTTACAACGTCATGCCCTTTGTGTAACTACCTGCCACTTCATCCTGATATGACTCTGCCTCTCAGACTTTAGCCACGCCAGCTAATTAGCGCCTGACAGAACTGGCAAACAAAGGTTAGCTCGTTAGCCTCGGCGGCTAATTACATAATCTTTGCTCAGAAAGTGGTCACTATCTGCATGGTGCGCCTGAGGCCAGGCTGATGACACAGACGGTCACACATGGGGCAGGCCGGGTGATGTTGCAGTGAAGTAAGCATAGAAGTTTAATGCGCGCTTACAGGAGCAATAAGTTCACACAAGCCAACGCTAGCTAATCTCTACACATGCAACACAGTTCACCGGGGAGGCAATAAGGTTGCAACAGACACAGTCTGATTATTATAGTCATTTGTTATTTATTAGGTGTGCCATTTTATCACGGTACATTGTGCAATGAATCCTGTTGTTGTGCACTTTCCTCTCTGTTTTACTTGGCACTGTTTCAATCTGTTTTATTGTCAGGTGCTGCATTTTATTGCTTTAGAGGCAGTCGAACATTTGTAACATGTCTCGAGTTGTCTTGATTGACAACTCAACAATTCACAAAGATATCTAAAAGATTCCTCTGGGCCTCTGCATGTGTGATTTACGAGTTATCTCCTTCACACAAAAACACAATGCTTAAATTTAGGTTTTGAAATCAAAGAGAGACTGTTATTGTTGAATGTCTGAAGTGGAAAATGGAAGGAATTTGTTCCAAATAGTATACGAGTTCTGTTTTTAGATGTGGCGATCCACATAGACACAAACATGTGGAAGAACATTCTCTGGTCAGATGTTACATGAATTGTCATTTTAGGCCTTCAAAATAGCATGCTGCCTTCAAATTCCATCCCCAGCAACGAACGACATGGGCGCTTGTCACAGTTGATCGGAGGATAATTATATCTAAACGCTGAACAATCCGAGAGGAAAACCTGATGAAGGCTACAAAATACTTGAGTCTGGGGAGGAGGCTCAGCTTCCAGGAGGACGACCACAAACAAATCTAGATGTTATAGATCAAGCTATGTTGTCTGTGTTAGTGTAGTCCAGTCAAAGTCCAGACCTAAATCCAGCTGAGAAGATTTTAAATTGTTCAGACTTACTCCACCCAAACTGACTGACTGACCTGTTTTTGCAAAGAAGAACAAACAAAAAAATCAGATCTCTAGATTTTCAAAGCTTGTAGAGGCCTACACTGCAAAAACACAAAATCGTGTCCAGTGCAAATATCATAGCACACTTGAAATGAGCCAAAACTAACTTACAAGTAACTTTACAGCAAGATGTAAGAGCTTGTTTTAGGTTAACAATTCCTTAAAATAAGTTATAAAAAACTATTGGTTCCACTGACATTGTCCCATGTTATAAGGTAAACAATCTCCCAGTGGAACTAGGACTTATATGAATAAAGTTGACTCCCATATCCTGTTGAAAAGCTACTTTTAAGTTAATTTTGTCTTATTTCAAGTGTGCTTGTTAATATTTTGTGTTTCTTGTGGTGTCCTGGAACAGCGAAATGTGTTGGAGATTGAAAACCACCTATTTGCCAAAAGTTTTGAAACACGTCTACTACTTCTGCTTTGTAATTATTTATTGAAATCAAAATCAAATCAAATTTTATTTGTATAGCACATTTCAGCAGCAAGGCATTTCAACGTGCTTTACATCATAAACACAAAAACACAAAGTCATGCATCATGGAATAAACAATACATTGTTACATATTACATTTCAAATACAATTCGAAACCTTTTGTTACTTTTTGTTGACTTTGTCCTTTTATTTATTTATTTTTTTTCTGATAACCATCTCTCTTGACTTTCAGGAATTCCTACGTCAGGCTTCGACATTTGCGCACCAGCACCTGGGTTCATAGTACCAACCTCCCAATTGACAAGGAGGAGGAGAAACCCGTCATGCTGCGGGTGAGGGGTTTGCCAGCTGCCATCAGTTGACCAAGTGTAGCATTGTTCAGTCTGCTTTGACAGGTGGACGTTTTGCTACGTTTTCCAGATTGGGACATCGGCCGTGAAAGAAGACAAGGAAGCGTTCGCCATAGTCCCAGTGCCACCATTAGAAGTGCGAGATTTAGACTTCGCCAATGATGCTAGTCAGGTGTTAGCTTCTATAGCTGGCAAGCTGGAAAAAGGAACCATTACGCAAAATGAAAGGAGGTATGCTTCTCAGTCCGCCGTACTATGTCTGGTACTGTGTTATTTAAATGTATCATTCGTAAACATGCAAGTTTGATTTAGCAAAAATATGCTCAAGTGAAATACTTTCATCTTCACTTTCCAGGTTTGTGACAAAGCTGCTAGAAGATTTGGTTTTCTTTGTGGTGGACATCCCCAACAGTGGGCAGGACGTGCTGGAGATCATGGTCAATAAACCCAATAGGGAGAGACAAAAACTGATGAGAGAGCAGAACATCCTTAAACAGGTGGGCCTTTAACTCTGTAGACTTCATATTAACTGGCATAAGGTTGCCGCTTAACCAAACGTTTGAAAACAATAACTTATTGATTTTCTTTGCAGATTTTTAAGCTTCTCCAAGCTCCTTTCACAGACAGCGGGGATGGTCCCATGCTGCGACTGGAGGAGCTGGGAGATCAGCGCCACGCTCCGTTCAGGCACATTTGCCGGCTCTGTTACAGAGTTCTCCGCCATTCCCAACAGGATTACAGGAAAAACCAAGTAAGCTACAAACTGTTGCAATAAAAACTCAGAATCTTGATTATTATTATTTTTTTTTTGTCATAAGCAACACCGTTTTTATTCTGTTCACAGGAATATATAGCCAAACAGTTCCGCTTCATGCAGAAGCAGATTGGCTACGACGTTCTGGCAGAAGACACCATAACAGCTCTGCTCCATAACAACCGGAAACTGCTGGAAAAACACATCACCGGTGCTGAGATCGACACCTTTGTCACTCTAGTGAGGAAAAATCGGGAACCGAGGTGATGTTTTTATATGAACAGAGTGAGATGCAAGCTGTTAATGTGACCAGGATTTGTTTGTAAGGTCTCTAAAAGAATGTTATTAGCTATAAATATATTAACTGAGGAAAACCTGTCCAGTTATTTAGATTCTTCCAGGTTTTAATTATGTTGAGTTTTGTTAAAGGGAAAGTATTGTGTAAAATGTATCTTTTTGAGCTTTACATCATATTATGAAATATACCTGGAGTCTTACCTTGACTTTTTTTTTTCCTTGCATTTTTGAGAAATCCTCTAATCTCCCATGGCAATCATTCAGCTGGGTGGACCAAGCCTCACTTTAGAGACGTAACTCCTTTTCAGACCTGCAGTGTCCAAGCCCTCACTCACCCATTCTCTCACTCAGCTCCTTCAGACTAGCCAGCAGCAATTAGCAGCTGGCTAGTCTGAAGGAGCACTAGCTGAGTAGCTGAGCATCTGCTGAAGTCATTATGGGAGTCACTTGTCAAACCAACGCTGGTAAAAATGTTGTGAAATGGTTAATAGAGGAGCCATGTTGTGATGACTTCCTGAAGATGGAGTTTCAGAAAAAGCAGGAGTTTCTTAAAGAGACAGAGGCCCTATTTCAGGGCGTTAAATTACAAAGTCAAGTCATATTTAATATATGTAGCATTTTTATAGTAAATAAAGGTAACATAGTTACTTTCCCGTGCTATAAAATCATCCTATGTGTCTGGGAAACACATAATAACTGCCCCTTTAACAAAATTTAAATTTATGAACTTTATTCCAGATGTATACCCTAAAATTAAGATAAATTAAATCCATGTTTTGCAGCTTTAGCTTCTCCAATACTTATAAAATAATCTGTTCACAGATTTCTGGACTACCTGTCAGATCTCTGTGTATCCATGCACAAATCCATCCCAGTTACTCAGGAGCTCATCTGCAACGCTGTGCTGGACAGCAGCAACGCTGACATCCTCATTGAGACCAAGTAAGAAACTCGTTTTAAGAGAGAGAGAGAGAGAGATTCGGAGGAGCAAACATGAGCACTGAAAGAATACGATTGTTTTCCTACTTGCCACCAGATTAGTGCTGTCCAGGTTTGAGATTGAGTTGACGACAAATGGGGAGGATCCTGTTGAGGCAGAAGAGGTGGAGGAGGTCTGGTTGTACTGGAAAGACAACTGCAAGGAGGTTCGTAGTAAGAGCGTTCGGGAGTTGGCCCAGGATGCAAAGGAGGGTCAGAAAGAGGACCAGGAAGTGGTCAGCTACTACAGGTGAGATGTCCTGCATGAAAAGACTATTAAACCATTGGAAGCCCCTTCAAAAAGCGATGATACTTCATGTGAATTTACACATTTTTACATGTTACAATTTAGTTATTGGGGATTTTTGAAAGTAGAATGAAACATATGAATGGAGTGGTGTGACTTTGCCTCTTCAGTAAATTGAGTCAAACTTTGTGGAATGTAAATTCGGTGTGATCTCTAAAAGCTCCTAGAAGTTGGAACATTAGAAGATCAGTTGTTTGAAAATTAGGAGATTTTGACGCAGTTTCATTAATTACCAGGACATGACCATCCACCTAAACTTCCAGCAGAACTTTAATCAGCAAAGAGGCCTTGGGTAATTTTGAAGAAAGCTATGTAAATCCAGAACTAAGGTGGTAGACTCTTTTAACAGGAAAACTATTAATAGAGATTTTATGCCCATAATGTATCAAATCATTTTGTGGATAAGTATTACGCTCCCAGGTCTGATCCCTCTAACGCTCCCATCTCTCTCCATCCAGGTGCCAACTGAACCTCTTTGCTCGGATGTGTTTGGACCGCCAGTATTTGGCCATCAACAAGATTGCTGGTCAGCTTGACGTCGATTTGATCCTGCGCTGCATGTCCGATGAAGACCTGCCCTTTGACCTGCGGGCCTCTTTCTGCCGCCTGATGTTGCACATGCACGTGGACCGGGACCCTCAGGAGCAGGTCACGCCGGTCAAATTTGCTCGTCTGTGGTCCGAGATTCCACCTAAAATTGCCATTGACGAGTTAGTGTCACTTCTGTTTACTTATAATTCCCGTGCATTCGCCATCCGAAGACGTCTCTGACACGTTCTCTCCGTGTTAAACAGCTACGATAACGACGGGACCACTAGAGATGAGATCAAAGAGCGTTTCAGCCTCACCATGGATTTTGTTGAGACCTACCTGCGAGAGGTGGTGTCGCAAAACATTCCCTTCTCTGACAAGGAGAAAAACAAGCTCACCTTTGAGGTAATTGTTTTCTGTTGAGGTTTGTGAGCAGATGAGGGCTGAATGAATATGTTCAAACTCTATTATTTGCAGGTAGTAAACCTGGCCCGAAACCTCATATACTTTGGCTTCTACAACTTCAGCGACTTACTACGCTTGACAAAGATCTTACTCAACATTTTAGACTGTGTACACGTCAGCACTGTTTTCCCCATCAACAAGATTGAGAAAGGGGATGAAAGCAAAGGTAAACGGTTTGTTTCTGGAGCCCAACTTGACCCGTTTTACAACCTGAGATATTCCTTGTGGCGAGACAAAAGAAACGCAAAGCCAGTTTGTCTCAGACTGTCACTATTTGATTTAGTTTGGACGTTGCTCCGTGTTCTTCAGGTGGCAGTAACGTAATGAAGTCTATTCATGGAGTGGGGGAGTTGATGACGCAGGTAGTGCTGCGAGGAGGGGGCTTACTGCCCACCACACCAACCCATCAGCCTGAAGGAGACGTGGTGAAAACGCAGACCGAACCTGAGAGAGAAGACATCATGGTCATGGACACAAAGCTCAAGATCATCGAGATCCTAAGGGTACGTGTCAGTGAAATCTCTAATTTCTCAGGAACAAATATTAGTTCATGCTGTAACTTTTTTTTTTGCCCTGTAGTTTATTCTAGACGTGAGGCTAGACTACAGGATTTCATGCCTGCTCTGCATTTTCAAATGTGAGTTTGACGAGAGCAATCCTCAAGGAGACAACGCTGTCGGTGCAAACGGAGGCAACAACATTACAACTCAGACGCCTGGTATGGAACCACATTATGTAACAAAGCAATTATTATTTTTTTATTTGGTACTTGGATTTGTAGAGTTGGTAAAAGTGTCTTAACTCTGAACTGTAGGAAATCTTGACTTTGAGAACATCGAGGAACAAGCAGAAGGGATCTTTGGTGGAAGGTGACTCAGATTCTCTGTAGTTCAAGACTTTTTTGGTGAAATCTCAAATGGAATGCCACAAATAAAAATAAAGTTCTTCCATAGCTTAGGGAATGTGATCTATTTTTGTTTCTCCCAAAGCGAGGAAAACACTCCTTTAGATCTGGACGATCACGGTGGTCGGACATTTCTGAGGGTCCTGTTGCATTTGACGATGCACGACTACCCGCCGCTTGTGTCTGGAGCGCTTCAGCTGCTCTTCAGACACTTCAGCCAGAGGCAGGAGGTCCTCCAAGCCTTCAAACAAGTAAACTATACCAGATTTCACTTTTTTGCTTCTCACAATACATTTCCAGGGTTTTCTGATGAGTTAATATGCTCAACATATCTTTAGAAGTTTGGTTTATGCTGATAAAATTGGCAACAATGCACATACAATTAATTTGACTAAATTTCAATTTGTATTTCTGTGTAGAGTTACACAGAAATACACAAATTGGTGCCCAGTATTTGCTAAATTTCTTAAAGATGCTTTAGTGGATCCAAATCTCACCAGTTTTTAAAATATGATTACTCATCAAACAAAAATTATTAGTATAAATTTCAACATCTGGTTAGTGGTTCATGTTAAAGAGATAAATAAGAGCGCATTTGTGAATAAAGCATGTGAACATTTAGCCCAATGAGGCGCTAAATGTTAACTAGCAGCAACTGCCTCAATGTTGTTTAAAAGATTGCTAGCAATCTCTTAGCATTAGCACTGTTGGTAAGTTAGCTGAACCTGAGCACAAAGTTAAACTCCGCCTCAAACACAGAAATGTTTTCAACCACAAATCTTCTGACAGTCCTTATCTTTAACTGAGTTGGTTTTTAAGTTATGATACTACACATGTCATTAATACTGGCAGCAATCATGCAATAATAGTAGCCTGAATATCCATCAACTGAACATCCATTCAGCAAGATGCTAACAACCAAATATTCTTCATTTTAATCCATATGTTTTGTCCAAAATAAATTTTACAGTGCTGACATTATTTATAGGTTCAGCTGCTTGTTACCAGTCAGGATGTCGAGAACTACAAGCAGATTAAGTCCGATCTGGACCAGCTGCGGTCTATTGTGGAGAAATCTGAACTGTGGGTTTACAAGAGGCAAGGAGAGGACGGGATGGACGGAGACGGCCCATCAGAGTCTGACAACAAAAAGAAGGTTGCCTTAATATTTCCTAGGCTCATTAATCAACTATAAGATTTAATAGGATCCAAAAATATGACAAAGTCATTGTTTTTTTTTCTCCATGCAGGGAGATTCCCCTGGTTCAGACAAGAAGAAGTCAGAAAGCACCAGCAACTACAACTACAGAGTTGTGAAGGAGGTGCACTTGTTGTAATTTGATCAATCAGCAAGTTTTAAAGGGATTTTATTCTAATCTAAGTCCCACTTTGTTTCCAACTTGCTTAGATCCTTGTACGCCTCAGTAAACTGTGTGTCCAGGAGGGCATCTCAGGAAAGAAGAGCAAGAAAGAGCAGCAGAGGCTGCTGAGGAACATGGGAGCTCACAGCGTGGTGCTGGAGCTGCTACAAATCCCCTACGAGAAGGTTCCAAAGTCTAACTCTCTAGTGAATTGAGTACATACTTATAGCGGGATCTTGAAAGATTTCCATAATTTTTACTCAATCTGCATCCATCTCCTTTTTGTTTTTAGTAACTAATAATTACATTTTTCGTTTTGCCTCCAGGGTGAAGATGTCCGAATGCAGGACATCATGAAATTGGCTCATGAATTTCTGCAGAATTTCTGCGCTGGGAACCAGCAAAACCAGATTCTTCTCCATAAGCACATCAACTTATTCCTCAACCCAGGAGTGAGTGTCGGCTGAGAGTTTAATTTTACACATAAGACATTCTGGGAAAGCTGATTTCTTTTCATTTTTTCCCACCCTTCTTTTCATTCTCATAGATCCTTGAGGCTGTCACCATGCAGCACATCTTCATGAACAATTCGCAGCTGTGCAATGAAATCAACGAGCGCGTCGTTCAGCACTTTGTCCACTGCACCGAGACACATGGGCGACATGTCCAGTACCTTAAATTTCTTCAGACGATTGTTAAAGCTGACAACAAGTTCATAAAGAAGTGCCAGGACATTGTCATGGCAGAGGTAAGTCTGTAGAAATGAAATCAGTTTAGATTTTTGTGTTTTTTTTTAATCTTCATTTGTTGAATTTAATAAATTTCTATGGTCTACTGGAGTGGAAACTTGCCTTTGGCTCTGAAACATACAAAAAAAAAATGAGCAAGAACTATAAAAAGTGATGCACTGATCCGATAAAAATATTGTCAAGAACAAAAGCGATGCTATCCAGGTAGAGATCTGATGTGGAATCTCAACCATCTACCCAGCTGGTGAACTCTGGTGAAGACGTCCTGGTCTTCTACAACGACCGCGCGTCCTTTCAGACCCTCGTCCAGATGATGCGGTCGGAGCGGGACCGGTTGGACGAGAACAGCGCTCTGATGTATCACATCCACCTGGTGGAGCTGCTGGCCGTCTGCACCGAGGGAAAGAACGTCTACACCGAGATAAAGTGCAACTCCTTGTTGCCCTTGGACGACATAGTGCGGGTCGTCACCCACGAAGACTGCATCCCAGAGGTGGGAGGGAAAAGATGAATTATTTCCTTTAAAGAGCTGTTTAGCTAAACTAGCTGTATTCCGATTAGAAATGCAACATCTAATTGTGGCTTTCAGTTGTTATAAAAGTTTGACCTACTGATAAAGATTTGAGCTTTGAAAATATTTCTTGTGAGCCATTATCACCAATTTATTTTGAGAAGAGGGGCAACGTCACATGAAATGTGAAAGTGGTTAAGTTTGTAGAACGTCTGAAATCGGTAATTGGAGTTTACAGTCTGTGAGTTTTCTTTACCTTTTCTCTGACATTAATAGAAGCTGGTCTGCATCTCCAAATCCCAGAATGTTACTCAGCAGATTGAGATTAAAAGCTGAACAAAAGAAAACGACTTGTTCAATTTTCCTGCTATGAGCTGAAGTTTTCAGTGGTGTCAGCCAGAAATGAGCCGATGATAAAACAACCCAAAACAGACAACCTGAATTATTTACTTACTTTAGTTTGGAACGTCTGGTTTGGTTCTTAGCAGTATGGGGAGCATTCATGATTCATTTTCAGCGTAGAGGCTCACTGTTCATTGTGACATTAGTGCCTGCTGTGTATGTGGCAGTGAGGTATGATTAGAAGAGGCTGTCTGTGAGTGTGTGTGGATGGTAGAGTGGCTTACTGTTTGGTGTGAAAAGGAAGTACAATTTCTGCTGGGGTTTTTTTGGTCAAATGTTCCAAAAATGGCAAAAAGAAAAATAAACGTCATGAATTTCTTTTTGTGAAAGTTTTCTGGATATTTTCGAATGGAATCACTGGAAGGTTCTCTCTGCTTTAGTAATAACCTGAATGACGCTCAGACTTATCATAGAAAATGCAGTTTCCTTTAACAACTACTTTGGCAGGTTCTCTTATTTAATCTTGAACACCTTAGTAAAAGTGAGAACAACTCGCTGAGTTTCCTTCTTTCGGCTCTGAAGAGTGCCGAATGGGGAAAAAAAATGAATGGAAATATGATCAGATTCTTGAATCCCACCGATGGCGGGTCAACCTGAAAGTTACCAGATTGCGAGAACTCTGGAGGGCAACAGCGAGATCCAGAGGCTGGTCATCGCCGGTCAGATCCTGAAGGAATACCAGTCATAGGAGCTCCTCTGCGCTAAATTTACACTTTATCCTGGATGAAATGCAGTTTTCTAGTTTCTTTTTTCTTATGCATAATGGCTGTTTGTTTCTTCACCTATGACCTTTGCTGTTCATCTTTCCAGTTGTAATATGAGAAGGTTCAAGGCTCAAATGCTGCCAAAGAGGGTCAGATTTTAATGTCTGGCCCTCTAACATGTGACAGATGGGTTGTGTCTGGAGTCGCTAGCTTTTTGTAGAGATGTTTTTGCAGTTATTATTTCCATTGGGTTTTTTAAACTACAGTTTATGATAATTATTTCAATAGAGTTGAAGTGCATTGGAAGGCGGAGAAACATGATTCAGTTGACATTCAGAACATTTTGAACGATGAAACTGAGCTTCGTTTTCATCTTCTCGAGAATTAAAAAGGCTAATTCTCACTGCAGTGAAAGAAAACCACAACACAGGCAACTGAAACAACTTTCTGAAGCCTTTTGCTCCTTCGCAGGGCCGCAGTGACTGGTTTTCTTTCCTGTTAGCGACGACTAATGTTTTGTTTTTTCTTTTTACAACCACACTTGACGTACACTTACAACCACATGTTCTGATGACTGCGCCCGCCAATTCAGTCACATAAAAAGATAAAGTTTATCGAATTCCCCTAAAGTTCCTTTCTTACGCAGTAACGTGCCCAAAAAAAATTTAATTTATTTGTGTAAATAAAGAGCTCTAGGCACCTTTTATCCCACTCTAAATATGCTTTTTTTTTTACCCATCAAGCATTAAATAATTAGACCACGAAATCATGTGCTTTTAGGGATGAGTCATATCTAAAGTTTGATGAAAAACAATTATATATCTGTGTGGTATTGCTCTCAGCAATCACTTGCTTTCTAGACATCTATTTTTTTTAATTTATAAAAATGTTTGATTTATCCCGAAAGGTGAAGATTGCCTATATCAACTTCTTAAACCACTGCTATGTGGACACCGAGGTGGAGATGAAAGAGATTTACACGTCCAACCACATGTGGAAGCTGTTTGAGAACTTCTTGGTGGACATTTGCAGGGTAAGCCAAAAACTATTTGACATTGTCAAAACAATGAGAATAAACTTCCGGGAGATTTTTCGTTTTTTAGGTCCACAACGCAGTCGGTACACGTTTGTTAACCGCCTTCTGCATCCAGGAAGTTGGGTCCTGTTGCCTTGCCTGATCTCTCTCCTCTGTGCGTTCTTAGGTGTGCAACAACACCAGCGACAGGAAGCATGCGGATACGGTCCTGGAGCGTTACGTAACCGAGACCATCATGAGCATAGTCACGTGTTTCTTCAGCTCTCCTTTCTCTGACCAGAGCACCAGCCTGCAGGTAGTGAAAGCTGACACGACTGATTTTCGATTTACAAAACACGGGCAGACTTGCAGGTGTGTTTCTTAGGTTGTTGCATGCAGTCAACGAAAATCTCCTTAAAGCTGCGATGAGCAGCTTTTACACAGTGTTTTACATGTTTGTTTAAACCGTCACCAGGTCGTGACAGTATTTTATGAGACATAAAATGTAAAAAGATCCTCCTGGAGCTACTAATGCCGCCTGAAGAAGTACAACCAATCAGAGCCAGGGGGAGAGTCTTAGTGCTGTCAATCGATCTTATGTTAATGACAGAGAAACAACTTATTGTTACAGGAAACCGTTTATCCGGTGGCTATGCTAACAAGTCTTAGCATTCACGACAGGCTCAGATTGGTTCTGTAGCGGACAGCATGGAGAGTGATTGACAGGGCTAAGACCCTCCTCCTCCTCGTTGTGATTGATTGTTTCTTGTTAGCGCTGGGCAGAGGCATATTTTGTTTCCACATTTTGTCTGTCTCATACTGCACTGTTACAATATAGTGACAGTTTCAACACATATGTAAAAAGATTTTTTTTGAAATAAAAGTTACAAACTGCAGCTTTAAAATTGACCCGCATCATGTGTGCTTTATATCATTCAAGCTGACTTTTTTCCCTTTACACAGATGGCTCGCCATATGTATGTAAGTAGTGATAACGTCCCACCATCGTCTCCAAGCTCCTCCTCCACTCCCAACCTTTTGGGTGTGTTGCTGAGTCACTGGCTCTGAATGCTGAGAATCATTCGCCTTAGTTTCAACTTTTCACTGCTTAGTCAGTGAAAAGTTGAAACTTTTCCTCCCTGAGCTGCTGTTGCCGCTCAGATCTGGGAAGACATTCAGACGTCTTCCCAGATCTGAATGTGTAACACGAGGTTGTTGTGGGATGTGGCGTGTACTGTATATGAAACGTTTTTGCCATGTGGTGACCTCATAGTAGTCCATGTCTGGAGTTTTCATGAGTTTTCCTGGGAATCAAAGACTTAAAATTCCCCTGAACTGTGCATGTGTGTGAAATGCTTTTGTTCCCACTAAATATCCTGATGTTTAATCTATGAGTCTGGATGTTTTCCCTTATAAAACTCAGAGCAGAGGTTTAGTGATACACAATGACACAGCAGCAACCTTTTCTTCCTGTGACAGGCAGCCATTCTTGGAAAGATAACGGAGGTATTTATTGCACTGTTGGGCAGCTGGCAGATAGATACCCTTTGTGCTGTTGGTAGGTGTATGTTGCACATGTTGTGTTAGGTAAGCGTTTTTTTATCAACAGCTGGCCTGATGGACCTGAAATGTTTTGAGTACATCCAAACAAAACCATTGGTTGTGGATTAGAAAAACAATAAGCGATGCACCAGTCCAATATTAATATCTGTATCAGTCCTGATATTTAGAAAAATTGTTGATTGGGCACGTTGTCATCAATAACCAATCTATTCAGTCTAATTCTATGCTTTGTGCTCTGAGTGATGTCGTGCTTTCTTGTAAATTTTGCAGTACATTTAAAAATCCCAATTGCACTTTCTTTACTTAATCTGTTGTTTTTGTTAGTGTCTTTATTTCACATTGGCTGCTGTCCTGAAAAAATTAAAGCTGTTGTTTTTACATGTTTGACCAGCTTGTGAAGCTGTTGCTGTGCTCAGGTGTGACATAAAAGTGCAAAGTTACCAAATAAAATTTAAATCAAGTACATTAATATCTGCATTAAAAAAAAAAGAAATAAATGCTTTCGGTCAATTCAGCACTGCTTTTCTGTATCGGATCGGTATCGGCCAATACTAAACCTCGGATATCGGTATCAGAAGGGGAAAAACGTGGATCGGTGCATCTTTAACAAAAACCCAAAAACCTTTTCATATTGGTTTAAAACCACAACATTTTATTGTGGTTTTACAGCAGCATAAAGTGGACCATAACTGTGAAGTGGAAGGAAGTACATGGAGAAGTACATTTGATGGAGAAGTACATTTTTTTTTTTTTTTTTACAAATAACAATCTGAAAAGTGCGGTGGAGTTTTACTATTTTAGAACCAACTTTCATTAAAATTTGTCTTCAAATCTGAAGATGAAACTTTTTGCGACATTTCTTGTCAACCTCAATCGGCCTGGATACAAGAGCACATGTGAACAACAAATTTCAAGTCTTGTAACAGATTTGGATTTAGACCTGGACTTTGACTGGACCAATTTAACACACAGTTTCATCTAGACCAGAGGTCTGCAACATTTATAATCTTTTCTGAGCAAACTTAAAAAAGGCCATAAATGCCGCATGACTTTTTGAATATTGATAAATGTCAATGTTCTAAAGTCGATATTTATCTACATTTATGTCATTTTTAAAGAACCCAAATTTTATCTATATTTGTGGATCTCAAATAAAGGTAAACTTCAAATATTGTAAGGGGGGGAAAGAAAAACTGTTAAAAACCTGCATTTATTATGTCTGTATTTAAGACATTAGCTGCTTCTTCTAATTTTTTTTTTGCCAATTAAATAAGAGATATTGTGGAAATTAGCTGAACTCTAAACAACGGGTGACTTCTGAATACACCAAATTTTATTTAGGGTGTTCAGCATAAAGGGGGTTGGCAGATGCATACCACACTTTTTTAGACTACATACATATAAAACTGTCGTTTTCCTTCCACTTCACAACTATTTATTACCTTGTGTTGATCCATTGTGTGAAATGTCAGTAAAACCCAATGACGTCCGGAGGTAGTTTTGTAAAGTTCCAGCGGTATGAACACTTGTAGTACTTGCTCATTTTATTCTTCCCTTGCGATGATTTCTTATACAATTCGATTTCATCTTTGCCTTACAGACTCGTCAGCCAGTGTTTGTACAACTGCTGCAGGGAGTGTTCAGGGTCTACCACTGCAACTGGCTGAACCCTGCCCAGAAGCACTCGGTGGAAGGGTGCATCAAGGTGCTTTCGGACGTGGGTGAGTAGCTAAACTCGACGATCACCGCTGCTCTCCACGCGAGTCTCGTTAAAGTCGCCGCACCCATATGCCTTTCCCAGCCAAGAGCAGAGCGATCGCCATCCCGGTGGACCTCGACAGTCAAGTGAACAACTTGTTCGTCAAGCCCAATAACGTCGTACAGAAGACGCTCCTCAACTGGAAGCAGTCGGCGAAGAACACGTCTAGGCGAGAGTCCAGCCTGTGCGCCTCTAAAGACTACAGAAACATCATTGAAAAGCTGCAGGTTGGTAGCACAGTTTGCATTTTGGACCTGAAATGTTGCCTCACAGCTCAGACGGAGAAAATGAAACAAAGGACACAACAACAAAAAGATAAATATAAAAGCGACTTGAAAACATCAGTGACACTAAATGTGAGGGAAATGCAATATGTTGAATGCTGTGGACTTTTTTTTTTCTTTTTTTAGTCAAAATTTTTTTTAATTTAAATTGTTTTATTTTCAAGCCATCTTGGGTGATGTGGTGGCACAAGGGTAAAGCACTTAAGGAGGCCTTAGTCCTCGATTCTGATGTCACAGGTTCAATTCCCTGCCTTATGACCTTTGTGGCATGTCTTCCCCCTCTCTCATGACCTCATTTCCCATCCAACCACTCTCAGATAAAGGTCACTAGAGCCAATAAGAGCTTTTTATAAAACAAACCCAAAGATCAAGCCATTAATTAATTAGTTAAATATGGCAGTGATGAAATCAAAACAAAGCTAAAACCCAGTGTGATTCTTGTTCTGATCAGTCAGTGGTTCTCCAAATCGTCTCCATACATGTTACAATTCAATATTTCTGATGCCTAAAAATAAAAGATAAATCCTTTTCAAACTTTAATCACCCCTTAATATGACACTTCTTCTGAGAAGCAACTCTTTGTGACTGAAATAATATCTATATCACCGTGTACTTGAGGTCTCAGTGACCTTCTAAGTTAAATTATCGTCTTGTTTCTTTTGACTCATGATTCTTCTTGTCCTGTCCTGCAGGAAGACCATTTTGAAAAGCTTGTTGCTCTGTTGTGCAGGTTCAGCTTTGTTCTACAGTTACCTCCGCTGCTTTTTGCTGCAACACTTTTTCTTTAAACTCAATTTTCCTTTGCTCTACGTGGATACAACAGTTTGAACAATCAGCTTGCACTCGAAAAACACATTTTACTAAGTATTTTTGTCTTGTTACTAGTTCAGATATCTAACTGCACTAGAAATAAGACAAAACTAACTTAAAGCAACTTTGTTGTTTTAAGTCAATAATTTCTTAGTGGAACTAGAACTTTTCCATGAATATTATGGATTTATTGATTTGCAAGAATTCCTGTGTTTTGCTGAAAGGTTACTTGTAAGTTAATTCTTTTAGATAAGTATCTGTTTTTGTAGTTTAACTTTGTTTCCTCTCAGAAACACACTTCCTGGTCTCGATGAAAATCTAAGGTATTAATAATTTTTTGGATTAACTGTGTGGAACGGAGTGGGGTTGCAAAACAGAAGGTTTTTCTTTCACAGAAAACATCCAGGCCTGGGTAAAATCTCCCTAATACTTGAGGGAAAATGTATTTGTTACCTTTGAGCCACAATTCCAGAAGGGAAACGTATCACAGAAACATCCGTTAAAGAGCCACAATAAAACACGGTGGTGGCAGCATTATGCCATCCGCTTACATTCCTCCAAATGGACTTGGGATGTTATTATTACTATTGCTATTATTGTTATTATTTGTCAAAGTGCTTAAAAAAGTAAAAACTGAAGCAAAATTGACAAAAGGCTCTTTGCCAGAGTTAAATTTTGAAAACAGAAAATGTACCTGAAGAGATCTGAAAGAGTTCAACATAATAATTTTAAAAACATTGGAGAAGGTTTGGAAGGTGAAGTTATGATTCAATACCCAGTCAAAATGTGGGATGATGCTTTTAAAGAAGATTGAAAACTAAAATTAAATAAAAAGATGTTTTTGTGATGGTTTCCATCAGCTTAATGTACTTTTTAAATGTCTTTTTTTACAGATATAAAAGTGGAAAAAAGTTTGGATATAATTTTTGATGGTCTCAACATTTTAATTCTCAAAATATGGCCTCATCATGTTAATACTTTGGAGAGCCAGAGCCATATTTTTCTTGACTATTTTATCTTTGTCATTTACCCTAATCTGGTCCATATAGGGGAAAAAAGCCCAAAAATCTCAGCCGCAGCCGTGGTTCCTGTTGCCTAGTCTGACTGGGCCACCTGTAAATAATTAAGACTTCAGCAACATCGTTGACTGTTGGTACTTCCCAGGAGTGGCGTCATGCGTGTTGTAACCCTCGTCTCCTAGACGGTTCTGTAGAAGTTGCCTCACAAGTCAGCCATATAAATAGGACTTTCAATGATGGGAAAAGTTGTTACACCCAATTACTTGCAAAGCATGACTCAAAAATTCACTGGAAGTGTGCAAAGAAAAAACAAAACAAACAGAACTCAGTCAGTGACCTCCCTGGTTGAGATCAGCTGTTATCCGGGACACGCAGAGGAAACTGTGTTTGGCGGAGGCAGTCATTCTTTTCCTGATAAAGCAAACAGACCCTATCGTGACAGGAGCTCTGTGCTGTTCTATGATGATGCTCAAAGCAGACTCTGGTTAGTCACCGACCTCCTCCCAGACGGTACATTTCCTCTGGTTTTAATTGTCTTCACTTAATGCTTCTCCCTTCTGTCATTTCCCAGCTGCACATTTAGTTTTTTTTGGTTTTCTTACATCCTAAACAGACGGCTCGTTGAATAATGACTCAAACCTGCAGTTAGAGTGATAAAACATTAAAGTTTTTGCTTTTGTCGACTCTATGTACATACAAATGTTGACTTGCAGTTTAGTTGTTACCAAAGTCATTTGTATAGATATGAAATGTGTTTTTGTTTAATTCTTTGAAGCATTTGGTTCAAAAGGACGCCAAAATTGTATTTGTATTTTTTATTTTTTTTTTGCAATTTATCCATCTTTCATCAATTTCTCATAGCCTTATCTAAAAAAAAAGGAAAAAAAGAAACAACGAATGACAGGAAATATTTTCAAAAGTTTTTTTTATTTCAATCATCCCGTCTGTTATTTGTACAACGGAGTATTAGCGCCAGGCTACGAGATCTTTTGTTCTTTTACAATGATGTAGTCGCACTAAAAGAATAGATGCAATTGTACCTAAAAAAATGACGTAAAAAAACCCCCCAAAAAGTCGTTTTTAATGAGGAAGTAAGTTGCCTCAGAATTGCAGGTCTTCTTTCTTCCCAGCAAGCTGACGTTTTAAAGTCCAGTTGCTGATAACACTTAATAATTTGGCACTGATGTGTTAAAAGATGAATTATTTCTATGAAGTATTGTCTGTAAATCTGATACCAAAGTATTACATCACAATATGCTCAATACTCCTGAATTAAATTTAGTTTTTTGTGTTGAAGTAATCATAAAATATTCTTCTAATATTATAACTTTACTCAGATAATATATATTTAAAAAAAAACAGTGTTAGCCCGGCCCTCATGTTCCATCACACAATTGACCTGAATTCAAAGTCCAAATAAATAGGCGCTGTGAAACAGGCTTGATGTGCAAGATGGCCGCCCTGGGCGTGCTGACATCACAAAGAACTGTGGAAACACAAGGAGTGCATTGGTGAAAACATTGCAAGGTGTGCATATTAACTCTACATATAGTGTCAAAAGCCAGATCTAGTAACTTTCCATACATTACATGTAAGAAGAGTTTTTCTTAAATGCAAAACCTTCACAATTAGAATTTAGTTAAAAAAATTAAAAAAAAAAGCAGAGATGACGCCAAATCTTTAGACATACCTGTGTAATTCACTGTAGGTTTCTTTTCGGTAACTTTCCTCTTGTGGCGTTACGGCCACGCTCTGCAGGACATCGTTTCCGCTCTTGAGGATCGCCTGAGGCCGCTGGTCCAAGCCGAGCTCTCCGTCCTGGTGGACGTCCTCCATCGCCCCGAGCTGCTCTTCCCCGAGAACACGGACGCTCGCAAGAAATGCGAAAGCGGAGGATTCATATCAAAGTGAGCCTTGAGTTCTGATAGAAGTTTTGAATGTTTCGTTTTGCTGCATTGAACGTAGTTCTGATTTTATTGCACAACTCTATGAGATGGTTTTTATGGGTAAATGATGCAGCTCGCTAAGACTGAGTCATATAACCATAAACTGAAGTGTAATTCAGTTTAGATTATGTAATGTTTGTATTTTTGTCATTTGTCCAACTGCATCAGCTTGTTGCACAGCATCCCACAATAAAAGCATGATTGTAGTTTTACCTTCTTTTTTGCTAAGTGGCCAACTCAGAAAGTTCCTGATCTTTTTTTAATGGAGTGTTAAGAAATCCAACTATGCAAATGGTATTTATTCAATTTGATTTCCTAACATTTTATCTCAGGATGTTAGGAAATTAACATGTCGATTGACCCATCCAATCCAAAAGCCTTTTTTGTCCTCTGCTGCTAAATAAAACCGCATTAGAGCCAAAATATTATCCGACCTTTTGAAAAAACGTCATCTTTGAATTTTTTTTATGAAAAATCTGCAACAGGAAGTTTCTTGAAATAAAACTTTCTTTCGAGGATGCATTTGGCATTAAACCAAAACAAGTTGCCAGTTTTGGTGAGCGAGGATCCTGAAACCAAAAGCTGTTCCTCTGATTCTGCTGCTTTAAACTCCAGGATGAAATAGTTGGGCGGGATTGTTGGCGTGTTCTCTTATACGGAGAACAATAAACAGTTTCATGCAAGTCTAAGCTCAGCCATTAAGAGCTTTGCATGCGATTAGAAGGATTTAGAATTGGAGTCGGAACTTCACAGGAAGGAAAAAATGGGTTTTCTTTCAGCAATACCAGTCGGCGCACAGCATGACATTTTAGACCAAACGGAGGATATTCCAGGAACTGGAAACGCTGACTAGCATAAATGGTACTGTTGTGGCTCGGCCTGTCTGGTGTTTAATGTTTGGCCCAGTTTTTGACAACTGGAGCGGAAGACACTTGGTGTTAGTAGTGTTATGAAAGTGCATGGTTTACTATAGAAGCCACTTTAGTATGTAAATTAAGAATGAAGTCTTTAAATAACAAAAAAACATTCAAAGTAAAGTCAGACGTTGAAGCAAAGCCAACTCCCTGTATGGTTATATTCTGACTTTGATTGACAAATTCATTTTTAGTTTGGACCATATCAAGATCCTGAATCAAAGGACATTTAAACATTTAAAATACTTTTAAAATAAGAATAGACAGCCTTCATTTGCTAAGTATTTCTTCAAATCAAATGATATCGAACCTCATGTGTCGAGTTTGACACGTGTGCTTTTAGCCTTTAAAACATAATTATTTTTTATTTGTGATTTGCTCAGCTGTATGAAACTAATCTTTCATGTTCTCCCATTCCTGTTGTTGACATCACCCATACACAGATGTCCTTTTTCAAATAATTTTTTTTAACCATTGATTAGCCTCGTATTTTGTTTACATTGAATGTTGCTTCATTTGCTTGTCGTTGGTTTACAGCTGGACACTCCAGGTCACACAATATCAAAATGTTTCTGATTGTTTCGTCCGCTCTGTAACCAGGCTGATCAAACACACCAAGCAGCTCCTGGAAGAGAACGACGAGCATCTGTGCATCAAAGTGCTGAAGACGCTCAGGGAAATGATGACCAAAGATCGGGGCTACGGAGTGAAGGTAGGTCAGGTGTTGTTTCTGTTCTGTCGGCTAACGAAAACCTTAAAATTAGATTAAAAGGTATGACTTCTTTCCATTTTTTGTTTCGCCAAGAGCTTGACTTGTGCACAGAAATGATTTTAATAACTTGTACAGAATACGTTTGAAATCTCTGCAACTGCTACAATTTGGATATAACTCTTTGTAGCTTGAATATGTTTTTGGGCAATTGAGGGGATAAATTTGCACTAAAAATGGATTCAATTCTACAAAAATAACTTTTGCTGGACAGCAAAACGACACAGAGGATAAGAATTAGCATTTTTAACATTATTAACAACATGCTTGATTCATATATCATTCATTTGCTGCTAAAGATCTATGTACTAACACATAGTAAATTTATCCTAAGCTATGATACTAAATACATAAAAATACTAAGTACATACTATGTTCTTATATGAAGTACCTAAAAATAGGATTTAGGAATTAGTCACTGGTTCTGAATTTACTTTGGCAACTTTTCAATAATCACTTTATTAGGTTTTCTATTTATGTAACATAACCCCTAAAAGTTTAATAATATAACTTTGATATTCTCATTTTGATCAGTTTGCACTTTATTTTGTGCAAAATCTCCAGTTTCTCCATATTTTTTGGACAGACTGCAGGGAAACGAGTTGCTCTCGTTACACAAGGTAATTATGGAGGTGACAGAACTGATGCAACCAGTTCGTCAGCTATGATCAACACAGTCCCACCACCAAATGAGCCAAAATGCTGAAAATCCAGACTTTGTAATGTGACTTTCTCTTTCTGCATCATATATCCGATCTCCTGGTTTTGGGATTACGTTAGCCATTTGGCTTAAATGAAGGATAACATTTTTAATTTGACATAACAGAAAAGGTTATATTTGATAGATCATTATCAAAATATATTATCACTTATTTCACACTCCTCAAGAAACTCTCAAGCTGCAAAAACCAAAGTCTACCGAATAATTTTTGTCTTCTTTCTAATCCAAATATCTTAGTACATTTGAAATAAGACAAAACTCATTTTGTACAGCAAGAGATTTATGTTTGTTTCAATATGAAGGAATTATTGACTTAAAACAAGCTGCTGTTTCTTGCTGAAAAGTCACTTGTAAGTTAGTTTTGTCCCATTTGTTGCACTGGAAACTTGACCAAAATTACTCAGTATGTTTCTGTGATTTTACTGCACGCAAAATGTCTGCAAGAAACTCTGCAAGAACAATTATTTCCTCAGCCATTTTCTATGTTAATTAGATGAGCTAATATCATCTACTAACTTGACATGTTTAAGTGCCTTCTGCACTTATTGGTGGCCGTGGTCACGATGTGTGAAAAGCCTTTAAATATTTGTGTTTTATTGTAGAAGCATAAAAACAAACTCACAAAAAAAGAGAAAAAATATCCAACCTCCAAGTACATTTAATCAAGAATGTTTATTCTTTCAGTAAAATCAGTTTTATTATATAAATTGGTTCAAGTTATTTTTAAAAAATACATTCAAGGATTTTTGTATTTTTGTATTTTTTTTTTTTTTTTACACATTTTGCCACCGGTGCCTATAATCGCGGAAGTCACTGTATGTTAATTTATTTTGTTAAAAAGCTTTCCATGTGCACATTTGCGACGGGAGCTTCAACTCACTAACAAGCTCTACTAACTGTCTGCCTCCTATACTTTCTCTCTTGCAGCTGATTGCCTTTGATGATGAAATGGATGTGGCTGAGGTTGATCATTTTACTTACTATTGTGACGTTCATTGATCTGTCTCCCACTAACAGAATAGACATAATTGTCCTTTGATTAGACTTTTTGAGCTTCGCAATCCCATCTGCGACAGCGTCAGCTGCTTAGATCATCCCTTCTTGTTCCATATTTGCCTACATTAGTAAGAGTCTAGTACATTATCGACATTTTCTAGTTCAAATTATCCTACATGCTTGTCTGTCCTGCTTGCACATGTGTAGCTACTTGGCGTATTTGAGTGTGCTATATGATCAATAGTGATTAGGGTTTTTTTTTTTTTATGTTTGTGAAATATGCTGAATACTTACTGGAGAATATTGAAAGTTTTCCCATTGGTCCTCTTGAGGGTTGCTATAGTTGAACAGATTTGCACTTATAAATTTTGTGTATTGATAGTAAAATTAAAAACATTTCTTGACTCGTCAGCCAGTTGTAATATTCACAGGTTAGGATTCACATTAATCTTTCATTCAGCACATTTAACCCCAGGTCAGTAATTTTTTTTTTTAGTACTCATCTTTTTTTTTTTTTTCTTTTTTTTCTGAGTTATTTTACATTCTCAACTTCATAATCTTTTATAATTATTTGGCCACTTATGAACAGTCGGACATGATGAAGTCTCACTCCTCTGGTGTTCAGCTGATCTTGAAATACGGAAACAATGAAAAGGGAGCACCTAAAAGTAAAAGTCACACTAAGCGCACGCCAAGTGAGCCAGGTGCACATCCAGACTGACAGACACTCTTCACAGCTCCTGTTTCACAAAATCTGCTTCGTTTACACCCACATGTTTTTCTGTGCAAAATAGACAGAAAAGCACAGAAAACGTAAAATATAATAAATTCAAAACATGTCTGCCTCCTCGACGTTGGTGCGAAAGGCAGGTTTGGAAACTGGATGGAAGTGGGCGCTCTGCTCATGCTGCTGTTGACGGCAAAGACTTTATCATTTCAAACCACCAACTGGTTTCTCCCAAATTTGTTAAATGCATCAAAAATGAAAGAGCGCTCTGTCAAAGCGGTAGAATTTGTGTGACTATTTGCAGTACCTGTGAAAACCACCTCAAAACATTGAGAAAAAAAAAATTGTGTTTATACAAGAGACTGCTGAGTGTGAGAGACTTGACGAAGACACTTGGCGTGGAAATGGAGCTTATTTATTGGAAAGGGTCTTTCCAGAGTTGCAGGAAGCTGCAAGATCTCAGTTTCTCTACTATGTTGCTGCTGTTTTGCTCTCCCTGCTTCCTTTTCCTCCCTTTTACTGGCCGTTTGGTGCTGAAGTGTTGGAAATCCCCACTTTCCAAAAAAGAAAAATAAGGTTCATCTCACAAAGCAGCACTTTATTTTGGCAACTCTCTGCCCATTAGCGGTAACTCAAGAGTCTACTCATGTTTTCTTGCTCTCATCCTGCGCTAATTGCAAGACACCCCGTCCCTGTACCTGTTGCGCAACACAAGTGTTTAACCCGATGCTGCTCTCTGACCGACTATGCCACACGCACACACAAGCTTAGGCTCCTCCCAAACCCAAACATCTAGCCAAGAACCCCAGGAATGAGTGCAGCTGTTAGTTTCACTACTGTCTGACTGTCTGCCTCACACTTCTTGTAGCCGCTTGCCCAGTCCATGCACCAGATTTTGCATATTCAGCCAGAATGCTGGATGAATTGGATGAGTCAGAGTAATTATGATTTTTTTTTCCCGTCATGTTATTATTTCCTGCAATAATAACATAATGACATCCTAGCCAGGGATGTCGTCATAAAACCTTGCTGATTTATTTCTTGGTTCTTTTAATGAACGCGTTTGAGCGTCACGTCAAGGTTGTAAAGATGATGATTGATGTTTTGTTTTTTTCCCTATGCTTGTGTGTGTTTTTTTTTAACATTCCTATTTATTTTTGCTTAGTCCGTCACCGATTTTCCAATGTCAGTTTTATTTATTTTTTTTCACTTTTGAAGTTTTCCAACATCTTTAAATCAACCAAAGGTTCTTCAGTCTATAAATTTATGCTCAAAAGTTCTACCTTTTCCCTAATGTACTGGGTTTTTAAGTTTTCTTCTTCCTTAAGTTTTGGGCAGCAGTTTTTCCCTTCAGTCAATGGGGGGAGCTCTAGATGTTTCACTACAATGTGCAGCCAGTCGTAGTTTTCTTAACCTGAGGCTGCTCAAATCTTAGTCTCAATCCAGCTCTCAAGCAGAAGTTACATAAGTGGGAACAATATTTTAACTCAGATTTTTCTGATTTTTGTCTCTGGAATTTAAACCCATCAGTAATGTGGGATTCTCCGTCATGAAAAATATTAAAAGGGCTGCAGATGTAGGACGTTGAACCTTGATTTAAAACATTCTGGGTAAACTACAGAGGTGAGGACTTACTATACTAGATCAGCAGATACTTGAAGATTGCAGACTTAAATTATTTCCCTCGTTTTAACATTTTATTACTGAAGGCTTTAATGTTTCAAAAGAAGAAAAATTGCCATTTCTGGCCTCTTTAAGAGATGCAAACAGCTTTTTTTTGTCAGCTCTTTGCCGATCTTTTTTTTTTCCACCACTACTTTTGAGACAATTTAAAGAGTTGCAGGAAACATGACAAGCAAATATTATGCTAAAAATCTAAGGAGGTCAAGTCGAAATGAGGCATTTTTTTTTTTGGTTTTATATAGCTAAAAGTGTTGTAGAAGCATTTTTGGGCACGTAAAAGAGGCCAGATTACTCAAACGATGGACGTCCGCGCAACAGAAAAATGAAGAAGGCATTAAGCTCAATCGTGCTGACAGAGTCTGAATGTGCCTTCAGTTGCTTGCATGATGCATGAAATTGTTTCTGTGGAAATGGTTGTTGACTCTAAAGAAGACTTCATGCAGGGAAATTCCTGTCCAGTTGCACAATTAATCACCTTAAAGCGGCACAACTGGGTTCTCAATGTTTACTTTTCCACATACCCAGCCCCCAAGTTTCGTGCATGTGTGTAAACTAATTCTGATCTTATTTGTGGCTGAAACGTCCCCCTCATGTAACTAGAAAAAGAGCCAGTGTCAGTCAGTTTTTAAATTAGAGTTGTACCCTTCATTCATTTAGTAAATTTCTGGTTCTGATTATAGCATGTACCATTTTCTCTTGAATAATTTAATATATGTTTAAAAAGATGATGGAAAAACCAAAAGAGTGCTCTCTCTGCATCACTGAAAATGTCCAATTTCAGTCAAAGTTATGGGAAAGATGCCTCTGTAGAAACAAAACCTACTTAAGAGAATGAAAACGCATTTCCTTTACTCTTAAAAAATAAAACTCACTACTTTTTTTCCTTTTTGCACACTTCAGAATCTACTTATGCGCTATGTAACATCCTATGCATTCATTCAAAGTAGCTTAACTTTAATGAGGAAAAAAAGCTTTGCTTTAGTTTGTGGAGCGTTAGATTTTCTTAGAAGTCTGTACATTTCCAATAAATTAATAAGAGATTATTATTGTTTCTCTTATCCATTATTATTTCTATTTGAACTAGAGGCAGGGTAGTGAGAGGTCATCGTTATACAGTAAAACATGTTTCAAAGCAAAGACAAAATACCTCGGCTTGACATTTTTAGCTGTTTATTAGCTTTGCGCTCAGCATGATTAGCACAGTTTGCGTAGCTAAAAGCTCAGTCTCTGTTTGCATCACCTGTAGTATTAATACATTTTTGCAATCTTGCAAAATGTGACAAAACATGAACACATCAAGAGGAGCAACCTTCCTCTAATACGCTAAACTTCAATTCTGAAGTCCTACTTCCTGTTGACGGCACCTGAAACAACAGTCGGACGTGTCTCTTGAAAACGATTCTTACACCTTTTGAGCTTTTGGGAAATTTTCTTTGTTCTTCTGTGGTTAACAAATTCCACACAGAAGAGTGTCGTTTGTGCAACTGTATCCCTGTTTGGCGCTAAATTAAAGTCGGTGTAAATAACAATTTAGGGACTTTAAACTTTTCCTTATTAAAAGTTTTTTTAATAAAAAAAAAACCTTAAAGTGTCTTTCTTTATTTCCAGATTTTAATCAATAATAATTTAATCTAATTATGGGTGAGCATTTGTCATGCATCACAATATGTTACTTATGATAAAAATTGTGATTTATTATTGATTATTCCTGTCCATCGTGTCAGGACTGCTAGTTTCACTCTTTATTTTCTCTGCTGTTTGTTTAACAGCAGAGAAAATAAATAAGTTTGTAAATTCAATTAAATGCAATTAGTGTGTGGATTTCAGTGATACAAATCACACTTCATGTCCTGAAGATGTGTTCTACAAATGGGAATGTTTTTCAAGAGCAGCATTTGTGTCTGTGTGTCAGTGAGGGCTGTGACACACGACATACAATCATCTACAAAAGAAGTAATGAATAGGTATCGAAGCTTTTACCATTATCATGATGCCACAAAATATCGTGATAAAACGTTTAAGTCCGTATCGTCCATCCCAATAATGTTATGCAATAATCTTTCTTCTTTTGTGCTTTCACTTTAAAGCAAGTCCCAAAATTAGATGTTAGATGTTTTTAATTCTTCCCTTTTTCTGTGATTTGTTTGTTGTTGTGTTTTTGCTGAATATATCTGGAAATGTTTAAAATTAGATGACTTGTGTAACTGGTTTTTCACATTCTGAACACAATAGGCAGGTAAGCTGTGGTTATTTTCTGTTTTTTTTTTTTTTTTTTTTGCTATCATCAAAACTACTTCCATCTCACCTTCTTTGCCACCACTTTGCAAATTGTTCCTCCTGACTTTTTTGCTGCATCTGTACAAGAGCAGCACCTCGGTGCATAAATTGGTGCAGATTGCATGCATATCTTGTGCTTTGCTAATACTTGCAGTGTCACTGTTAGAGATGGGCAAGAGGTTAAAAGGGAACCGGGTCACTAAACAGACACTAACGTGTTGCACCGTAGCCAAAGTCGAAAGAGAAGACAAAGCATTTCCCCCACCCCTTCACAGAGCTTCTGCTTTCTTGCCGCTGCAGGTCAATGCTGCTTCTCATCTGTGTTTTCTCTTCAGTGAAACCATGAAAATGATGCAATGTTCCCTTCCACCCTTTGCTCCAAGTCATGCACATTGATTAAATCCAGTCGTGCATGTTAGTGGATTATAGAAATCTGGCAGACTTGTATAGATATATTATGATGAGGTTTTGTTTTGTTTTTTTAAAGAGGGTGCTGCACGTTGAAGGCAAAAACACAAGAAAATTAACCCCTTCCCGCCTTAACTAACATCATCCTTTTATCTCCAATCAGCTGGCACCTCTGCCTGAACCCGAAGTCCCTGCAGAGGTGTGTTCTTAAAGACGATTCGGGTCATTCGTGATACACCGGTTCTATGCCATCACGTTCGTGCTTGGTGTTTCACATCTCTTCATCTCAGCAGATCAGAATCCCTGCCCATCCTCATGCGTTTTGTCTTTGAATTACCCCTATGACTCCGCCTGAGTCACCCCGGGTCTTTGGTGTTTGTCCAAACTCCAGTTTCATGCCAGTACAGTTGGGGTTTGGAATCATGGATGAGGGATTTTTCATGCCAAACTGTTGCAACAGTGTGTGTGAGTAACTCATATCACCTGCACATTTGATCTTGTTTTATGTTTACTCCCCTCAGGCGGCTTGGCATTCTGTCATGTAAATACTTTTATCTCGCTACTGTATCAATTTGTGATGTTTGGCGGGAGAGGTGGGGAGGGAGGGGATGGAAGTGCGACAAATAGCCCCACGTCGTGCTGTGGGCCTGAGATTGTGCCGAGCTTCTCACGAGTCAAATTTTGAGATCGGTCAATGTGATATTTTTAATGTTTGTGTGTCACGGGATGAAACACAAACTGCCCCTGTTAAAAATATTGCAGGTGCTGCTTGCTTTTAGAATGAATAGCTGTCCTCCCTTGCATGAAACCTCGCATGAGTTTGACTCAACCTCACATCTTCCCTGACACAACCACTTCCCTCTTAACTGCATGATCGAATCTGCACCCCGTTTCCTGCATGCATGTAAAGTAACTAATTTGCACAGGATTAACACACCTGTTTTGTTCTCTTAATTATTTCCCCCTAACCCCCCAGTTTTCCAAACTTTTCTTTTATTCACTTTTTTCTTATTTCAATGCTTTCTGTTTACTCACAACACCTTTAAGGAGCTTGATCCCAACCAGCCACTGAAGCAAGTGGAGGACCAGAGGAGGGTAGGTAAAGTGTTTTGCCGTGGTCTGGTCCAAGACTCCCATCCCTTTTTTGCCGTGCGACAGCAGCTGACTAACTGTTGCGAAGCGCTCACGGTCACGCTGCTTCCACAGCATGGCGCCCATTCACTCTGATCACACTTCTTTTGAATGCAACATGTGAGGCAGATCAGCGGGAGAGGACATCACCAGCAGTTTTCAATCTTTTTTACCGATAAACGCGGTGGTTTTTATAAAGAATCCTTCAATGCTGCTTCTGTGCACTCCACCAATCAAAGAAAGAGCTGTGGGGGGCAAAGAGGCCTCATTGTGGTCTCTCGTCTGTCGTTTAAAATATTGTAATTTCTTCATATACTAAGAAGGTGGTTAACGCGTCTCCAGAATAGCCAGATATGGTGTAGATATTTACTAAAATTACTTTCTCTCAAGCCTGTAAGTTATCATCTAATCAAGTCAACTTATCTGCACTTACCTAGCAGTACATACAAATTTGAAGAGCGATATTTATACAATCTGAGACAATTTCTCAACCCCGTGTGCCACATCCACCTTGATGTTAGCTTCTGGCTTGAGGTTAGCTTCTAGCTGCAATGTCAAGGTGAAAAATAAGTTTATAGCTTCATTCTGTCCAATAAAGGCAATTCGGGTGGCAGTGGGAAGAAAATGGAAAATTACTGAAGTTAGCTGTGTATATAAAAAATAAAAACTTGAGAATGCATGCTGTGATATCTGAGAGGCTAACTCCTGGCTGTTCAAGACAAGCTGACATACTTTAGAAATGAACTGAGTGCACAAGCCCACATTCACCTTGAGGTTAGCTTCTGGCTTCTAGCTAAGCTCCAGGCCGAGCCGACAGCTACTTTTTTAGCTTCATCCAGTCAAATGAAAGCCAAATTGGAATTCTTTCAGGTTGCATTGGAGAAAACACAGTGCACAGTGGCGCAGTTGGTAGCACTGTTGCCTTGCAGCAAGATGCCCGGCCCGGGGTCTCTCTGCACAGAGTTTTCACGTTCTCCCTGTGCATGCTGGGTTTTCTCCGGGTACTCCGGCGTCCTCCCACAGTCCAAAAACATGACTGTTACGTTAATTGGTCTTTCCAGATTCCAGAGGTGTGAGAGTGTGTGCATGGTTGTTTGTCCTGTTTGTTTCTGTGTTGCCCTGCGACAGACTGGCGTCTGGAACACAGCTGGTGAGGCACTAGCACCTCACGACCCCAATGGGGACAAGGGTGAACAGATGATGGATGGATGGATGGATGGATGGATGGATGGATGGATGGATTGATGGATGCAGGGATGATGAGGGAGTCAATTGACCCGGATCCTCCTTCACATTGATCATCTGAAGAGTAGTGATAATCAGTAATGACACATATTGCTCATGCAATCCAAAAAAAAGAAAAGAAAAAAAGTTGTTTCTTGTGTAACCATTTGTTTTCAATAGTTTTGTGTGATTTTTAGTTTAATTTGTTGCCACATTGTTACAATAACTTGTACTGTTAAATTGCTTCAACAGAATGTTTTGGGTTGTTTTCTTTTCACCCTAACGCCGAGTTTCTCAAACAGGGTGAGGCTTTGCGTCTAATTTTGGTCAACCGGTACTATGGCAACGTCAAACCTGGTCAGAGGAGAGAGAGCCTCACATCCTACAGCAACGGCCCAGTCACGCCCGGAGCTCAAGGAAAATCACCCGCACGTGAGTCAAACGATATGAGGGGAATGAAAACTGATAAAGTGTTTGATGCCACAGGCACGTAATGCAACTAATGAAGTTTTCAATAAAGATGTAGATGTTCCTAGAACAGAAGTTTTCTTTTTTATCTTGATCTGAAGCCATAAGATGGGTGTTATATAAAGAGATTGTTTTTTTTTTAGGGCAATCTAACGCTCTATTTGATTAGCAAAAGTGAAACTTGCAAATTCTCAAAGAGCTCCCTAGAAGGGGAAGTTTAGTCAAGATGTTCCAAATACTTTATCATTTAAAAATGCTGTGCAAGTCTTGGTCTTCGTAATGCATTGATATGAATATGGAAGTGATATTTTAAATAAATATCAATTGAATTTCTTATGAGCTACCAATTTTTTAATGTTTTTTTTTAGCGCTATGACAGTTGTTGGAGTTGAGTGTTTGTGCTTCAAAACTGAGTAAATTTGAAAAAGAAATTAGTTGAAAATTTGACGTCAAAGAGTTGTTTTGAGTCGTTTCATGTCGGAAACGGCTGCCAGTACCCAGATTACACAGAAAAGACAGAGATAACGCTGACACTTTCCAGTGGGTAGCAGGGAACAGACTGTGGGTCGAATCTGCCGATCAAGGTCACACATTTCTTCACCTCACAAATCAGATTCTCAGACGAATAAACAGAACGCAAACGCACGGAAAACTGCCGTCCAGACATCCTTTCGTGGTTAGGCTAACCCCGAATAAAATAGTCCGTATTGCATCATTTAGTCTGTAATGCATAGGGAAAACAGAGGACCTAATTCACACCAGTGACCTTGTGCTCCTTTTAAGCCTCCTCAAGGCTCTCTCCTTGGCCCGACGCTGCCCGTGTCATTGCTAGGAGACCGGCGTTCCAAGCGCCATGCAGAACGGGACACGTTGTCGATTCAGTCCGCCTGCCCTGCTAGAGATGGCTCTGACGGGTATCGTTATGTCACCGGTTCCTCCCTCTGCTGCGTGCGTCGGATGGCGGCAGCAGCGGGAATTAAAATACCTCTGTGGATTAAAGGCGCTTGTAGTGTTGTGGTTCGTGTGTGGCGTCTGAATGCATGAGTCAGTCTGTAAACCTCTCCTCCAAATAGATCATTTAATTGCAACCTCCTCTAATAAAGCGCCCACATGTTGCCTTATTTGTTTTGATCGTGCATTTATCTGGTTACTTCGTTCTTTTAACATGAGGAGGTTTTGTGTCTTTCTTTTAGTGCCTTGCGAGAATATTCACACTTCATGAACTTTTTCCCATTTTGTCACTTTACGACCTCAGATGCAAATGCTTTCATTTTATTTTACCAAAGAAGTTAAATAAAACTTCTTTGGTTAAATAAAATAAGAAATTCTCATGTCCAGAAAACAAAAAATCACAACAGAATGTCATAAAGCAGAAAACAGAAGAATGTAGTGAAACAGAGAAAAAAAATAAATACACATTCATACAGACTAACCGTACTGTAATACACTTAAGTCAACAATTTTTAAAAGTGGTTTAGTGGTTTTTCCAACTTGATCTAATCTTACTAGAACGTAAAGTGCAGGTATTGTTGGCCATATTTTCCAAATGAACCTATTTCATTTGGATTTTTCCAACATAAACTAGTACACGATAATAAAATTGAGAATGCATGGTTAATAAAAGAAGTTTTAAAAATGGAAATCTAAAAATGCATTTCTTGGCCTCCCTCTTTCAATGCAACAACTCTTCATATAGAGTAAATGCAGTTATTTTGTGAAGGTCTCAAAGGGTTGTTGGAGAACATAAGTGAAGAAACGGCTTCATGAAGACCGAGGAGCAAGTTTATTTTCCCGCTGTGAATTCCGGTGGTGGCAGAATCATGCTGTGGAAATGCTTCACTTCAGCAAAGATAGGACAAGGAGGGCGGTCAGCGCTAATGGGATGATGGGAAAAGATGAAGTGCAGGGCAGTCCATCTATTCAGAGATGCTGTTCATCACACCTGATGGGACTTTACCCGATTATTCAAAGATAAATGGGGAAAAAAATACATACAAATTCTGTCTCTAGATGTGCAAAGAAACATAGTCCAAAATAAGTATTGACTAATGAGAGCTAAAAAAATGCCCCTCCTTTAAGATTATGTGTAAACAAGTGCTGTCAATCAATAAAAAAATGTCTTCAGATTAATGACACTCTAGTAAAAGTGTAAAATATGAATATGTACGCAGCTGTGGTTCTTTCAGGAACTCTGCCCTGGGCTTGCTCCTCCTCCTTCTGCACTCCCACCAATGCTAGAAATGTTTTGTTTTTGTTTTTTTTATATTCTGAAACTGGTGGTGCTGATGAGTTCTCAAAAGCAAATAAGTGAAACTTACTCCACTACACATGCATTCAACTAGTTGTAAATTTGTTTAGGGGACAACTCACAAGATTTTTATTTATTGATTTTTTTCGTTCTTGGGTGTCCCATCAATTGATGATGGCATATCATCTGCCCATATCAAAAACTGCCACTGTTTGTACGTTTTCAAAAAAATATTTGACAAAATGTTTTTAATGCACATTTGAAAAACACTTTAATCTCTGATGCCAGCCAACCAGGCATCCAAAACCTAGCACCGCCACTAAGCTCCTTCAGACTAGCCAGCAGCAGTTAGCAAACACGTTTGAGCTCATTTTATTAACTACTTTTCAGTGCATTGTTGGTAAAGACTTTGTTGAAGGGTTAGTAGAACGATGTGGTTATGCCTCCCTGAAGGCGGAGTTTCAGAAAGAGCAGGACGTTTTAAAGAGCCAAAGGCCCAATTTCATAATGTTAAATCCTGAAGTAAATTTCTTTAAGTCATATTTGACATGTATAGCATTTTTAATGTCTAAAGTTAATATGCTTACTTGATAGTGCCATTTTTTAGCACCATGTGCCTGGAACATGGGTAACGCTTTAACATAAAATTTTTGCCAAGTTTCCCAAAAATATTTCCTGTGACAATTTGGTGAGATGTTTGTCACCATGTTCTGCCCCTTACACAAACGATCCAGAAAGTGGATTCTGATAGGTTTGACTTCTTCGCCTCCAGTGGTGAGCTCCGGCATCGGAGGACGGGGGGAGCTGAGTCTGGCCGAGGTCCAGTGCCACCTCGACAAAGAGGGAGCCTCCGACCTGGTGATCGACCTCATCATGAACGCCACCAGCGACCGCATCTTCCAGGAGAGCATCCGACTGGCCATCGCGCTGCTGGAGGGCGGAAACACAGTAATCCAGGTGAGTGCAGGTCACCGAGTTCATGCGTACCCAGCCAACTCTCTGTGGGTGTGAAGTTTCAGTCGAGGTTAAGCATTTGTGTGTTTGTTTTGATTACATGACTACTTAAAGCATGCATGTAAGGCACGATTGGAATCTGCACTCAGATATGTTGCTGCGCACACCTTTAAGGTTCAGGAAATATTGTGGTCAATCTGCAGCCAGGTGTAGAAAAGTACCTTGACTTTTTTTTTATTATTATTATCCACATTTTGTTTTGTGGTGGAGGACAAAAAAGAAAGCCAAACACAACAGCATGATCACGGGATTTCTGGGAAAGTTCCAAGCTGTGCAGACAAATGCATCATTGCTTCCTTGTGGCTCGCCAAGGGTTACCCAGGCAACCCTAACTCTCCGGGAGTCTCGCAGACGGAAGTTTTCAGGACAAGAGTGCCACTGTTTGCAGTGAAATCATTTCAGCGTCGCAGGGTGTACTGCTGGTCTGTGCCGGTGTGTCTGTGCATGCTTCGTGTGCGTGTTTGCGTGCTGCTCATAAAACCGTCTATCAGGGCGTTCTGGTTTGTGGTTTTGTGCAGTGTGTGTGATGTTGCCGGCTATCTTGCATAATGCATCCTCCATTTGCATGTTGCTGTTACCTGACGAGGCCTGACTTCCTTAGGTGTACGCTGGCTTGACTCCCGGTTACATAAGCTGCAGCGCTGCCTGGAAGAGTGACGCCCAGCGCCTCGGGCCGCCTGGCGTTCCTGCCAGAATCTTAACTGGGTCATGCTTTGCTAATGGGAAGAGGGCAGTGAAAGATCCAACCCACAAACTTGGTTTCAGCAGGTTCTGTGATGCAACTTGAGAAAACACCACTTCTTGTGGCCTGAGTTTAGACCTGCTTCTGCCAAACTTTAGGGCTGAAGTGTCATTTTGTATTTTTGTCGGTTCAAAGTGCTTTACATCATAAAAAATGACCAATTATGAAACAAACGATAAACATTATTTTGTTTGTTTCATCAAAATCATCACTACCCATCAAATATGTTGATTAATGTTCCAGTTACTACTAATCAAAGTCAACTCTTTTAGATTTGATTTAAAGAAACAGTAGTTTCACAGTTTTCTGGAAGCTTGTTTTTGAATAGTAGAGCATAGAAGGTGAAAGTTGCTTCTCCCTGTTTGGTTCTCCTGCTGCAGAGTAGAACCAGCACCAGAAGACTTAATTGATCTGGAACCTCAATACAATAACATATATTAGAATATGGAGTTGCCACAGGAGCTCAAGAAAATAGTATTTTGCTCATTTAATCTCAAATGAAAACTCTTTTTTTCTCTCTCTCATTTTGTTTATTGCAGCTACTGAAATTCTATTATCGTTTTTACAAAAAGTTAGATTTTTTCAAAAACGATCGATGATCAAAAAGGATATTTAGTCCAGAAATTTGCTGAATTTTTGGTTTTTGAAGGTTTCATTTTTGGAATATGCAGATTATTATCCCCTCTACCTTGTGTCTTCAGAATAAAGTGACAATTTTGCAGACACTTTCACACAAAAAGTAACAAAAAAGTTAAATAAGGAAAGTTGAGTGTCGCACTTTGGTATCAGTTTTGCAAACGAGGACGTATTTCATATTTTATCACATCATCACCTAGTTATTATCAGTAGCAGGACTTTGCATCCATTAAGCAAACGACTGAATCTGTTTCAAAGAAAGCCACCCTGACATAACCACTGAGCTGGTTAAGTCAGATCTTCGTAACTCTATAGAAGCTTTTTTTCTCATTAAATCCACTTCTTTTTCTCTTAAAATTAAAACGTGCCATTGGTAGAATTGCATTTTATTTCTGGTCATTTTATGACTATACAATGTAGTCATATAGTCATAAAATTCACATCGCCTCACCCTAATAGTCTGCTATACAAGTCCTAGATTGAACAGAACCATTAGATCAGGGGTGTCAACATCCAGTCCTCGAGGGCCACTGTCCTGGAGTCTCTAGATGTGCCACAGGTACAAAACACAGGAATGAAATGGCTTAATTACCTCCTCCTTGTGTAGATCAGTTCTTCAGAGTCTTGCTAATGACCTAATTATTCTATTCAGGTGTGGTGCAGCAGAGGCACATCTAAAAGTTGCAGGACACCGGCCCTCGAGGACTGGATGTTGACACCCCTGACCTAGAGGGACAATCAAATATCTAAAAAAAAAAAACCTTCTCACCAGATACTTTTTGCTGCACAACACATATTATCTCGTGCGCACCAGATAAAATCTCGTGGACATGAGACGCTGCCTGGTGCACATTAATTAAGGGCCAACATGGTCGGACAGAAGTTGAACGATGCGATTTTCGTCACGCGGAACAAATTTTTCGCTTTTGTTTTATTCTTTTTTTCCTATGATTGAAAAAAAAAACACTTTTTAAAATGCTTTCTGTAATATCTTTTATTAGAAAAGAAAACAGGGGGTGGGGGAATCAGTTTAAAATTTGAAATTTTTATTTTTAAGCCACATTTCCCAGCTTAACTGCTCACTGCTGATGAGCTTTATCATCCCAAAGTCATTTTCCAGTGTGATGTGGCACCTGACCACATTTTCCTAAAGCACATATTCCTCCTTTATTGACCATTAAATCACTATTAGACTTCCTCACAATACCTCATAGATGATTAATCTATGAGGTATTGTGAGGAGAAGAAGAGAGAGAGGAGATTAGCTGAATGCTGAGCTCGGCAAAATCAGCGTGGCCACAATCTTGAAGCAGAACTTTATGCAAAAGAACAAATTTTCTTTACAGCATATGGCATACTATTTTATTAGAACATTTCTGAAATAAAAAAAGTTTCTTTATTGGTCTTCAACAGAATGGAAATTTTCTAAACGTGCATGTTAAATTATCAAGGAAGGTTTTATTTGAAGCAATGATTTGACTATCAAACATAATCGCCCACAAATGATTTGCATGTATTTTACAGGATGTCTTGCAGAAAAGTTCAGCATTTTGTTTAACTAAAAAAAAAAAATGTACCAAAGTTATGTGCGGACATGAAATTAATTATTTTTCTGAACAACACCGTGCTACAATTGAGCTTTGTATAAATATTATCTGTGATCCAGAGTAAAATAAAAACTCTATGTATCAGCAGATCCATCACATTTTCCTGTCTTGCACAACTGGTTGCATGCCCCGCTTTCAGGACAGAGGAGCCCATTGTTGCCTCAGTGGAAAAAACTGCAGAAAAACACAGATTGATGCATGCGATCTGGACTTTTGTTTTCAGGGCAAAACCGGAGTTGTAAACAAGCCAACAAGCGATGTGGGGGGAAAAACAAAAAAAAAAACTCTGTTTATGACAACTTATTGCTACGGTTTCTTCCTCGTCTTTGTTCCTGTGTGCAGAACATGCTGCACAAATGCATCAAATGGTTAATTTTATTGAGAAGCAGAAAACACAACAAGCATTAATAAAACAATGACGTAATCCATCTCCACACACCAAAAGAGTAGATGTAAAAAGAAAAAAGAAAAGCTGAAGTGAGAGCTTGAGTTCAGGTTGAAACGAGCCAGAATTAAACTTATGAAATGTGATCATCTGGGATTTAACCGGTAAAGGTTGAAGGCATGTCGCTGGAACTTGATGAACTGGATTTTGCCCGTCCAATCCAGATGCGTTACAGGGAAGCAGCAAAATTATTAACTTCACACGTCTGCAGAGATTGTTGCGCACTTTCAAAGCCGCTTGTGTGAACAAGGCCAGCGTTCAGACTATGAGAAATTGAAAGCGAGGCAGGAAATATTTTCATTAGACAGTTTTATGCTATGGTCGCAAAGATGAAGACCCTCTTCTCCCCTCCCCCATCTGTCAGCCTTCAACAAGTCAACCGCTCAGGCCACCACATCCTGTGACAAAATGTGTTAGAATCACAGAACCGGCGAATTTCAGCAGCATGTTTGGCGACAATAGAGCGCCGCTCGTGACGCTCCGCCCACTTCACACCCGCTTGCCAACTCTGCTCCGGTTGTTTGCTTCAGAGGGGTGATTGATTTCAGCCAAGCGTTTCGCCACTGCAGTTCTCACCAAAAAACAGAAATCACGCTGAGACGGGAAGAAAGCGTCTCGGGGCCGTTCTTCAAAGGAATTTGTGACAGCTGCTGAGAAGCACCATGGAAGACGGGCCGTTAGCAAGCGCTGCGCCTCATAATATTGTGATTTGTAGGGTACGTGTAATTAGCTTTTATCGCTGGAAGGAAATGGCAGCGACTAACATCTATAACTTGAGACTAAACTGTTAAAATGAGGATAACGAGCATCTGAAATGCATCCGCCCAGTATTTAGCAACAAATGACATCATTAGCTGTTGATTAAAACCACTCCTCACGAAGAACACAAGCAAACCGGCAAACTCTTCATTTATTCGTTTCTCTTTGATTTTTACTTGCCTGACAATCAGTCACTTGCTTTTTTTCTTTATTTCATAATTAAATTGTATGACAATTTCAAAAGTATCTAGATTTAATATTCATACACAACATTATTACGACTGGTTGCTACGGTTTCTTCTTCATCTTTGTTCCTGTGGTTAGAACAGGCTGCACAAATGTTTCAAATGGTCGACTGAGAAGCACAAAACACAATAAACTTCAAAAAAGCACTGACATGGCCATCAAAGCTGATACATTTCATGTACCTGGAACAAACCCGTTACTTTAATGGTGGACACAAAAAAATTGAAGGAGAAAAGAAAATGTGGAATCATGTGAACAGATGTCAGCATTGTGATATTTCAGCAATAATATTGCAGTTAGATGTTTTCTTGATGGTATGCGACTCTACCTCCATCCACCCGTTACCTTCCACTCATCTGTGGTTGGATCGTCGCGGCAGCAGCCTGGGCAGAGGCCCAGACTTCCCGCTCCAGCTGCTTCGGCCCGCTCTTCCAGGGAAAATCAATGATGAATCGAGCAATAAATGTTACATTTTGTCAACTGATACATCATCAAACTGTATCAGTTT